ACACATGACGGTAGTTAATCAAGCTGTGCAAATAGGTAATCGATTTCGTAATCGAGTTTGCGTATTCGTTCCACATATAATCCGACGTTACAGGAATTGGTCGTGAGATCGGCTTCGTGTAACCGTCATGTCCGGGAAATTCGTTTTCTGATTGACTTCCCTAAATAGACGGATTACCAGGAAAATCTGAGGTATAATATTTATAAAGTAATTCCTCGATTAGCTCCTCATCACATAAAATAAAAAGATAAACGTTACTAACAGGTTATATTATTATAAAAATTATAGCTTTTTTAGGATTTAAGAGTTTAGGATGCAAGAGTTATATCTCGTTTTCGCTAGAATCTAAATAAAATATTATATAAAACACAGTACGCATATATATTTGATTAATGTATGTTAATGCAAAACTTTGAATTAGTATTCGCTACCGAGCAGTGAAAATTCTTTGCTAAACCAAAAGAAATTTCAAGTGCTCTTTTTACAGATGAAAATATCGCTTTGATCCTTGCGCGAGCAGCAGTAAAGATAAACCCCTCCGGGAATTAGGCCAGTTTAAGGTGCTCTCACACGATCCGGTAGTCGGTATCGATACTCTGGGTATTGTGCTAATATTGACTATCGTGGGAACATCTCTTTTTCGTAACGGCTGTTATTAATATCACGATACATTCACGCTGACAGCTCGCGAGCATATCAATGTATTTATGGTAACGTTCGTCGAGCGAGCTTAAGTATAGCGAATGATTTGTTACTACGTCATACGCAGTGGTGGCTGATGACCACCAGCACGATTCGCCCATCATGTATCGTGACGGAATTAGCGGGCAACCGAAATAATTTATAACCAGACTTCATGCGCGTCGTTCTCTATCTCGTCTCTTCTCTCATATCCATCCCTGTTTTCCTTCTCCCTCCTTCTCTCTCCCTCTCTCTCTCTCTTTCTAATCTCTCTTCTCTCTCTCTCTTTCTCTCGTCTCGTACTGACCCTGAAATCCACTATAGTTCATTCATTACGCCATCGTACAATGGCATGCCCACGTAGCGTACGAATTATTATAGAATTCATACCATATATTAATCTTAGAATATTAAGAATAATGAATAAACATGTATACGTACGCTGTATACGTATTGTACATTAAATTAGAAACATATGACAAAAATTTTGAAATTTTTCTAAGCTAATTTTATAGAATATATTTAATACACAACATGTTAAAAATAAATAGTTACAAAAATAATATTATAACAAAATTTCTTTCAAATCTTTTCCCATTTAATAGATGCAATAATATTTTTAAAAAAAGTGTCACAGTTTTTGAAATATTTTCACCTTTTCTTTCGTTCAATATTTTTTATATTTCTTGGAGATTCTATATTAATAGAATTTTGTTTAATATAGTTTGTTTTTCTAATTGAAAAATATATAGAAGTCATACACATTGACGTCATTGAAGCAATTGCTTAAGGGTTAAAATGGATTTGCCCATCATACACGTTACTGATTTATGTCCCCAGCATTTAATATTGAATATGGTTGATACTAAGCTTTATTCATTTAAGAGTCGATGCTACTAACGACGATTAACTTTAATTGCGGTTAATCGATTGTTTTTTTTTCTTTTTAGATCTAACTGTGATAATATAGGTAGAAAAGAAATATTTAGTATACGAGGAGAAATTCTCTTCCCATTTTTTGATTTTATATTCTTGTGCGTGATTAAAGCTTATATATTATAATATTTTTATCTTTTTTTATACATCTCCTCTTTAAATAAATTTTAAAGAGTACTTTTTCTCGCGCTGTGTGCGCGAGAATAAATAGAACAACTGGTGCCTAAGTGCGGAAGTAATCCGTTTAATCTCAAATTCTTTCGGACTAACATACATACACGCACACATTTACCCCAGGGCAAGTCTATAAATCCGCTCACATTTACGTCATGAAGCGTCATGTATGTTAAAATAAATAACTATGTCTACTGCAAATTTCAAAGTGCAAAAGGTAGCGTAGTTTGTTTTAATTATTCGCACATTCCCGTGACTTTCACGCTATATTTTTCAACGATAAATCGCATTCTTCTCGCGTTGTAAAAGGGCCGCAAACTTCATCAGCGAGGAAGCTCGTGTCATAAGTTCTGATCGAAATTTATCACGCTGAGGACGTCAAGACGCGGATCTCAGGCGAGGAATTATAAATTAAACGAGGAGATTCCTCCACAAGCAAATAAAATTCATATAGGAGAGCAGTAATATAACTTTAGAATACTTTTAAAAACAATAAATATCAAAAATTTTCATAAATTTTACAACTAAAAGTAATTGACTAACTTTATGCGTTTATAATTTTTTTAGTAAATAAATTACGTTAATGCAAATTGTAGCGCGTTAATTAAATAATTTCCTAAAACAAATCCAATTTTTAAAAAAATTTTACGAAAACTTTAATTCAGTGTGCGTTTCGATCAATAATTTCGTCTTTTTTTAAATTTGTAGGATAGGATCATGACAAAAATGAAAAAAACTATCGAGCAATTTTATCGAGCAAAACTCAGTCTGACTTAAATATAATTGAGAATGATTCTCGTTGTAGAAGTTATGTGCACTTCTATTCATTAACAATCCTGGCAATGACAGTTCTGGCAATCTTTTTGTTTCCGCGTAAATTACGCGCTCTCGGACGACAACAACACAAACGTCAGCGTGAATCATTTGTCGTTCGTATAAACTGTAAACGCGTTGTCCCGCGAGATTCGACGAGTAATCGTCGCTGTGTATCAACGCACTGTTGGAAATTTTCCCTTTGTGAGATTTCGTTAAAAACTTTTCTCGCCCAGTCCTTCCTTCTCCACATAAGAAATAGCCTTTGTCCTCGCGGCAATTCAATTTCCCTTCACGCGTTTGTCGCCCTTTCCTCACAGGAAATGATAGAAGTATAAGCTATGGAACTTTGGCCTCACATATTTGGCCAAGGAGAAAAATGAATAACGAGAAATCATTAGTTTACCATCGATTGTCTATAACTCAACTAGTCAATCTAGTTTCCTATCTGTCAACAAATTAGCATCAACGACACATCGATCAACGCGTCATACATATATCTAATCGTTCTATTGAATAAAGATATTTTATTCAAACTAATTTGCAAACAATTTAATATCTGCATAATATATTTATCTATTTATTTTTACATATGCGTATTCTCCATTATAATGGTTCCTGATATACCTACTTATAGATAAACTATAAATCGCGACAGAATTCAAGACAAAAAATCTATTTATAATTTTATGTGCCGGATATTTTAGTATATGTATCCTGATAGGTATTTTATGTGTGTATATATGTATATTTTAATACTCTTTAAACATGTTTTCTGTCTTACGAGATAAAATAATAAATAAAATTCTTTCCCAAATTTTATTACGAATTATAATCTAAAATAAGCTTTACTTGCAAATTACAAGCAAAATAAAAAGTATTTCTTGCTTTGTTTCTCTCTCTCTCTCTCTTTCTTTCTCTTTCCTTCTAAGATGTTATTAAAACAAAGTAAAAGATTATATCTCGCTATCTTGTGCAATAAGAAATGACAAAATAATTTCGCGATAATATATTCTTAGCATAACATTAAATATTTTTTGAGACATATTATTCTCTTAGGGCTTTGAAAAGTTTAAGGAGACATAAAGCGATGACAGATGATAGCACGTACAATATTCCGGTCTCGTTGGCGGACATGCGGAATTATATATCGGAAATTGGAGACCGATATTCAAACGAAGTATGTCAGGGTTTATTACGTGCGAGGCCGTCATGCAGTGCGACCATGTCACTCTCGCGATGCATCGTTCGATTATAATTTATCGAGCACATAGAAAACGAGTTAACTCAAGTAGCTCCAAGCTGGTCTATGCTGTGTTTAGTCTAAATAATTATTCTACGATAGCTTCGCAAAATCAAATACAATAATAATCCAGAACAACTTGTGTGTGTGTAATATTAAAACAATATCCAATTTTTTTTTAATTGGGGAAGGAGAGGGCATGTATATAAAACATATTTATAATATTCAAAATAATTAAAGAGAATATTTAATATTTAGAAAAATAAAAAAAGTATGAAAGTAAAAAGATAGCGTTGAAACAACAATTTTCATCGCCTATTGTTACTGTAATTTTTAGGATGTATAATTTCAATGGATTAAACATCCTCAAATCTCGAAAGAAAAAATTACTTATCGGAGTTTAATCGGGAAAAGAATTCGACGGCACGCGCCTCGCCCGATATTTTAGCTCAATGTGTGGCCAGCACGCGAGAAACATGTGGCCCGCATGTGGGATACAATGCGGCGTCTGTGACCAAAAAATACTTAAGGATGTTTATAAAAAACAAATGTAGCGAAGGTAACAATGATTTCTAGAAACCATACCGAGAGTTCCACACATTTTCCATTCATTGCGGCAACGTGATGATGCACTTTACTTTTTCTACATTATCTTTAATCACGACAGATCACGATAAAGAACAGTTTCATCAATGTCGAGATTAATCTATATATATCTATATATTTCTATCAGATAAGGATTTTTTCAGTAAATGCTGTTATCATTATCATTTTACTAAAAAAAAAGTATGATTATTTAAATTTTTTATTAGATTCAACGTGTTAAATTATATGTATTCATTTCTTTCTGATCTGGTGCATATTATATATTATAATGTATATTAAAAAAAAAAAACCGCTATACTCAGCATTATAAGTGTATTGTATCTCAGTATATATCTAATTTTTTATTTTGTTATTATAAATAATATAAAGAGTAAATTTTGATGTAATTTAATGTGCATTTCATCAATTTTACGCAAAATTAAACAGAAAAAGTCATATCTAAAAGATTAATTAGTTAGTCGAAAATCGCCGACATTTTACAGGTGAGTGTGTGAATTTGATAAAATTCGCAACCGGCTGCAACCCCTTCCACCCGGCGGCCGCGCCGAGAGGCTGCAGTCGATGTCGAAGCCGACGCGCGCGAGCATCGGAGCATCGGAGACCGCGCCGATCAGTCCGCGCGGGACGCTCGAAGAGCGAGGATCGCGTTCACGCCTTGTCTTGCTCCCTAATCTCTCTCAGGTGCATCGAATAGTAAACGCGAACGAGAGAGAGAGAGAGAGACAGCGCCAGTTTTTGCACCCAGTTCTTTAGAATCGAGGTGATCGAGAAGGGGAGAAAAACGGCGGCGATCATAGAGAAGCATTTTTTGCGGGACGACCGGGACTCCGGAAGTTTTGGAGCACAGATGGTGAGAGGTAAGAAATGCGCGACGAAAGTACGTTTCTTGCGTATTTTCGTATATGTCAGGTAAAATATAAAGGCACTTTTGTGCGAGCAATCGATCGGTCTCCGGAGAGGGACTCTCTTAGTTACCCTTACTCACCCTTAATAGAGTCGGACAGATGTTGAGGATGATGATGGCTCTAGGTCGGTCGCGTTTCTCGCGTGCGGGATGACGCGCGAGTTAAGATCCGTTAATTCAGAAGTTTAATCTATCACGTTAATCAAATTCGAGCGAGATTAGTCGCTTGAACGTGGTTGAAAATGGGAAAATGTATTCCAAGTTATATGAAATGATGTTCGGATTGCGAGATAATTTTATACTTTTGAGCGATGTCGAAATTAACATTTGTTAAATCTTGTAACTATTAATTCGTTGAATCGGATTATATTCTTATATATTTCGAACGAAGGGGAACGAAAGGATGACCGATCATAAAATTAGACTGATGTGGTGATAATTCCCTCGTAACGATAGGAAATTGCATAATTAATATATATTGCAAATCAGTTTTTGCGAAAAAAATCAATTACGAGAGAAATTAACTACGATAAACGTTGTTTTCTTTTTTATATCCTCTCGAGACGGTTTCTCGTTTTCATAAAATGATCAAGATTAATTTATTATTGTATTTTAATCAGCTTCGATAATTAGCTACATCAATTAATAAACGACTGAATAATATATAAATAATATTGCTATATAAATCATCAAAGTAAGAAATGTATTAATCCCTAAATATTATAATACTTTGCAATCTCTCCTTCTCTTTTTTTTTTTAATTTGAAAATACTACTACCTTATGGCTCACTGCCTCGAAGAGATTGAAATGTTTTGTAACGAAGCGAGAACGTAATCGTTGCTATTCGATTAACTATGAGAAATGGTGCTCCCGAGCGAGTATTTTGGTCGTATCTCAAATGAATTTAAAGCTCCGACTACGCGTCGATCGATCCCATTCAAATTTAAGTTCCACCTTAAATTTAATCTTTCGTACAGACTGACTTATTAGTTTCGTTTGACGTAAGGCGGCCATGGAGCTGGAACAAAATTTGCTCGACTGCTCAATTGGGCATGATGAATAATTGATTTCGAGTTTAAGTTGGGGCGGGTGAATCGAAAATTTTCCGACAGGTATATTCCCATTCGCTATTTCCTGGAATATCCGAGCAGTTGAAACGCGGTAAAGAAATAAAAATGTTCTATTATGGGAAAATCTACCGTTTACTCAATTATAAACGAATAATGAACGACAGGTTTTTTTTAAACCGCGATTTTTCTGAAAAACAACTTTGAGATAGATTCATAAATTATTTTATAAATAAATCGTAATATATAACATACCTATCTCGCGTTGTTTAATAGGTGATTAATCAATCTCTTATACACTCGATTAGTATTCTTTTACAATTCATATGTACCTTATTTCTTAGCCAAGTATTTTTATTTAGATAATAATATTGCCGAGTAATTTGAGAATGTAATTAATAAAAATTGTGTGTATGATTACATCTTGTATTGTCATTTGTCATCGCAATAGAAACAGTAACGAGGTACAAAAAATGTCTGACCATAACCGGTCAGTCTCTACTTAAATTACATATCTATCTTTTTCTACTTGCTATATTATAGAGAATGAAATGAAATGAAATGTGTGTGTGTGTGTGTGTGTGTGTGTCGTATATATAATATGGATACTGATAGATATAAATAAATTCAAAAATAAATTCATCTTTTTTGTATAAATATCTTAAGAATGAGAGAAAGAGAAAGAAGAAAGAGACAGAGAGAGAAGAGAATTCTATTAGATTAAGCATATTTTTATTATCCGATTTTTTTACTTTATCAATTAACTTCTTCCATATGATAAATTCTATACGATAAATTATTTCTCTCTCTCTCTCTCTCTCTTTCTCTATCTCCAGTCTGTCTGTCTCTTCTTACACCGGTTTTTTCTCTGAAAAGTCGGAGTTCGTCCCAGGATAATAATAAATTAATTTCTTTCTCTCGCTTTCATCTCATGCCTTTCTCTTACTCTTTCTCTCTATCTTACTCTCTTCCTAGGTACACCTGTTCACCTATATGCGCAAATTACACTTTCCGCGTACCGGACGAGAGTGTCAGTCGCGAAATGAGCCTGTCGCTCTTCCCGTGAGATCCAGCATGAACGACGTTTAAATTTACATTGGCGTCGCGAAAGGCTGAGAAATCAGCCGGCTGTCATATTGCGCTTAAATTTAAATTTCCCTCGAATTTTGAGTGATGCGATTGGATCAAATTGCTCCACTCAGCTGCAACATAACGTATATTTATCCCCATTAACAATTTCGGGCAGATGTGTTGCAACTGGACCTAAGAGCCCCCAATGATCGTGCGGTAACGTAACCGGCTGCCGTTTCGCTCATTTAGTGCCCGCACTTTTCTTCGTTGTCGGTCTTACTTGCAATTAGTATATATGTAATAAAGCTAATTACCATTAAAATTTCCATTAAATATTTCTCACCGTCATTATTTAATCATCAATTTTTATTTTTCTATTTAATTCTTATTTAACTCTGCCCAACTTGCCGATCTGTGAGATGCGTAATCAGATTAAAGAATTAATTTTTTGCCATTTGAATCTCTCAATTGATTTTATCAATATACTTAATAAACACATTTGCCTCCATTTCTCGCACTCCGATTTGTTTTTTTGTTCGTTATATAAAAATATAGGCATTTTTTATCGATTAACAACGCCAAGTCATACAAGACAACATTCAATATATAAAAAATATACAAGAAATAATATATAAAATGTCAATATATAAAAATTCGTTTAATTGATATAAAGAGGGAGAGAGAAAAAAAGGAAGTATAAACAATATATTATTTGACAATTAAATGTATTAAGAGAAATTATTGAAGCCTGAGGAAGTAATATTTTTCACAAATTAAATTTATCGGCATATCCTATACGAAGCAATATATTTAGGCACATTCAGCAATAAAACATAATTGGATTGGCTATGCACTTCTCGTGATCAAAAGATTTAAATTTTTTCTTTCTTGACATGTGCCAATTCTGTCGCTATGTGGCAATGCAAATTTGTTGTGCAAGATCTTGAGCGCATATTGGCAATCGCGGTTAAAACAATAGTAGAACACTATTCAATTGAGTCAGAAGTGTCATTATATTACCGAACGAGTATAGCTTCTTGTCATTATATTACTGCCAGCGAATTCGTTCGTTGTTTCTTTGACACGTTGTATGCAATGCCGAAAATAGAAATGATAATGATTTCATTAATGATCCAAAAAAAAATCTGCCACTTTATCTATTCTATTTTTTTCTGAACTTTTACAATAAATAATAACAGAAAGAGTATTTTTCAATAAAATAATAAATATATTTTAGCTGTAGAAAAACACGTTATTAATATAACATTAATTATATTCTATATTTTAAATACACTAATTTAAATACTTTTACTATTAATCTTATGTAATCTTTGGCATATATGGTATATATAAGATATTTTCATATAAAAATATATCTTTAAAAATTTTAAAAAATCATACTTATATAGAGAGAAATGTTTGTTGGTTTTAAAATATTTATATTAGTATGTCTTTCTAATATATATATTAGAAAGACATACTAATATATATATTAGAAAGACATACTATAATAATATAAATATACCTAAGGTAAAGGTGAAAGGTAATATATATATTATCTTTCACTAAGATAATAATATTTGAAATTTGCGAGCCCCTAATGTAAAATAATATAATAATAATATATAATGCAGATGTTTTGTGTAAACAGTGTGTAAAAATTTAAGAATTTCTAGAAATAATAATAAAATAAATTGTCGAAAAGAAGTTCATCGATCGATAAATTCGTATTTGCATTAGATTTCGTATTACCGTTTATATCAAAACATTGCAATGAAAGATCATTGTATAATATACGGTTAATTAAACAATGCATTAATGAAGCAACGTAAGCGATTATCTACAAAATCAAGTTTTCATTAAATTGGAAACGCCTAATTAGAGATGCACGTTAGATTGACATATATCTGGAGCGCCTGATTCAATAATCATATTCTATATCTCAATTTTATTGTACTCTCAATTATGCTATAATAACAATTATTATTTAACAGCATATGTGTGTGTGTTTTTCATTCTTACATTTAAAATATCTACACATGTATGACATATATTTTTTAAATATTTTTATTCATTAATTGAATATTAATTAACAAATATTTTTATTAATAATTATTTTTAATTTAATTTATTCTAATTTATTTATTTTTTAATTTATTCTTTATTTTATATCATATTTTTAATTTATTCTTAAAGTTATATAACGTTTCTTTTTCACATTGTTTTACATTTTTAGTCTTTATCTTCAGTTTTTATGATTTCTAACATTAATTTACATTTCTGATTGCTGATTAACGACATCGCAAGAAAAACCACGTGTTGTGTAAGGATTATTCACGACAATCCATGCGAACTCTGATGTATCTGTATAACGCGTAATACAGAAATCGATACTAATTATAGTATTTGTATGCACATTATATGGTTCGCGTAATACTGCACGTAAGTTGTGCTAGATGTTTCATAAGTCACGCAACGAATGTATTTCTCGACAGATTTCAAACCAACTTGTCGTTAAAAATAAAATTTAAACGGAATGATATACAACAAAAGAAAATTGTTTTTTTTTTGCAATTAATTGTAGGAAGATTTTGCTACAGCCAAAATTTAATTTTTAACTCTCTTAATTACCGAGATGCTTAGGAGTAAAAATTAAAAAGTTAAAAGAAGAATATAAGAATAATAGGAATTCCGCGCAAATTATTTCGCTTTACGTTAATTTGAAATTCAGCGAAAAAGTTGCTATTACAAAAATTACAGCGTAATTTGCATGGAACAATCTGTATAGTGACGACCTTTCACATTGTACCGCGATGCTGTGCCATTATACGTAATCCGACGACCGCATTTCCACTGTATTAATTAATGCACATGATTGCCACCTGACAATCGAGAAGGTCAAAACTCTCCCTTTCTCCTTGTTCTCGAACGTTTATTGCTGCCTAATATTAAAAATTTTCGAATCGATATACATACTTATAATTTTTAAATAAATTGATATTAGTTTGAGATTTAAATTATAGTGTATAAATAATAAAGACTTCTCAAGAAAAAATTGTTTAAAGTAAGACAAAAAAGTTTTTGCTATCTTGCAATATTTATAAAAGCTATTACGAAGCATAATACATATGCGTATAATTTAGAAGATAATTTGTGAGAATAAAATTTAAAAGAAAAAAATAAAAACATATTTACAAAATAAAAAAAATGCTCTTATTAATATATATTAATATCATATATTTTTTTACACACATATACATATATCTGTCATACGCTTTTCCTCGTATGTAAATTTCACAGTTGTTTTGATTAAAGATTAAAGATTAATATATTATTCAAATAAGAGAGAGAGAGATTAACATATTTCTCTCTCAATCTCTTCGCTATCTTATTTCCTCGAAGTCGACAAACTGATTTAAATGGAAAAACGCTCGAGGGATAAAAAGAATGATCAGGACGCGAACAGCTTCCTCTCGAGGAAACGCTGTCGCGAATGGCTCGATATTACGCGCGACGGTCGATCGATCTTCATTAAATAGAGAGAAAGAGAGACAGGGTCTGCAATTTGCATAGAAAAATCGAGCGCGTGCGGGGCGCGTCCCATAAAAGATGAAAGAAGACGACGGTATGTCAGTGTCAGCCGAGGGATGCACGCTGCCGTCCGGAGAAAATCGATCTATCACGATCGAGACGTCACTCCCGACATTCGAGCAAGACGATCAACAATTTATAGATTGACCGACTGCTCGCTCGCTTTGCCGGATACGGAGTTTTGTCTGAAATTCGAAAACCCGAACATTTCTAAGTCTCGATTGTATTGAAAATATCGACGTATATCCAGCCGGTGTTTTCTATTTACTGTGCCAAAAAGACAGTACCTATCTATCTAATAGCACGCGCTCGATATCGACCTGCCGCAAGACCAGTGAACTAATTTTAAGTTATTATATCAAGTTGTAAGTTTTATAGAACGTTATTATAAAGTAAAGAAGTTCATGTAGAGAGTAAATATATAATACGATATACTTAAAAGGTAACGTTTTTGCTTTCTTTTTACTCGATTGAAGAATTGTGGCGCTTTCATTTCCAAGCCGAATTTCTTAATTTCATATTTTTAGAAAAATTGGAGATTAGATATGTGTTACAAAAAGCATTAGTGAAAAGCCGACTTTATATAATCTCTGATTTTTTTTTAACGCGGATTGAAAATAAACTCTTCAATTTTGTATAATATCTAAAAATGTTTGCTCCAGGACTCTTGATGCCCTAATTATTAATATGCGATTACGTAAGAAGTGATAATTTTATCTGCAACACGAAGTTTTAGAATAAAACATCGTTGATATTTTATAGAATCATTTATCACCGGGCATGAGCAATTATGTTCAGAATTTACAGTCTTCGGGCGAAACGTGCCTTCGTAGACACATGCTCATTGTTTTCTGAATAAATGGGATACATATCGTGCACGATAGTCTTTCTCAGAGACACGTCACATCACCGATGAAGTATAGTTATGTCCTCCCATAGGAGAAGAAGGGCCTCATTGTCCGAGCACGAATTGCGATGACGTTGTCCCCGAGCGAATTACCAAGCGAATTTCGCGCATCGTTAAGCCTTAAATACTGACACATTATCCGCGGCTGGAAATGTGTAATGTTACCTCTGAGTTAACAAATGCGCGCAGTGTCATAATTAGAACACGAAGATATATTCTGCAATTTCGTTTAAATTTAATCCAGACATTTTAACGAACATATTTTCTGACCAAACGGAAAATACGAAAAATATACAAAGAGAAAACCACAAAATGGTTTACTAGAAAATTAAATACTATTTACTTCACTCAATTGGAATCTTCTGCGATAAAAATACTGCTTAATAGCTTGCTAGCTATCAACCATGACATTATTATTTATCTCTCTCTTCTTTCTTATATTTTTTTGTATCTTTTTCTTTATAATGTAAAATTGCAAGCATTTGAATATACTGTGTAAATTAAGTTTATTATAATTATAATTAAAAAAGGCGTTGTGGATTTGTTTTCCATTCGAGAATAACGGTCGCGTTTTTTTACCGAAGAGTAGTTTCGTTTTGCATGAGAAAACCCGCGGAAGATGAAGAGCATCGTCCTCGTTCACGTTAAAGCAATTTGTACGAACATCAGAAAAACAAGGAAAGTCATCTCGTTTAAGGAAAGAAACGAGGACGGATATAACGACAATGTAAGGGAGCCTTGATATGCAGGAAAAAATTGTAAAATCTTTCCTCGAGAATGATTATATAAAGACTAACGTCCTTCCGTTCATTGCAGGATCGTTACCTGATATCGCAGTGACGATGGCATCGGGCAGAGAAATCCACGGTGCTTTCAGGTAAGGTAAACTCCATAAAATTTAAAATTACATATGTTAAAATTTCAGTTAATAAAATAATTAATTTATTTTTCTGATATTTTATTAGAAGAACTCTACAGTGCAATTCTATTCTAAATGAATAAAAAAATGCTACTAAATTATTTACAATAAAATATTTTGTTTACATACAATTTTAATTCTGAGTATTATATAATAAAATGTAATATTTTTGATAATTATATCCAATTTGTCTTGATTAATGTTTTCCGCGTTGTTAATTCATCTTTTTTTTCATATTTTCATTTTTTTTGCTTTACGCATGCAAAATCTTGCGCGAGTGCACTCGAAAAAAAAAAAAACGGGCACAACATACACGCACCACTGATTTCACCGCAGGAAAGCCGGCTGGTTAATTCAAGGATTTTCGTGGGTATATATTTCTCGACACGTGACCTTTAGAAATTCATTATTACGTGAAGTGCAGGAATGAGAAATTAGTTAGACATCTGTTACATCAATCTACAGCTCACGAACATAATACAGTTTCCTAATAACGGATTTCTCGAAATATAGAGTTTGGAAAGAGATAATTTAAAGTTAAAATTTAACGGAAAATTTTTGTCGTGTATTCAAATAATATATGGCAAAAACGATTCGAATCTCTTATTCCGTGACGATTTTCTAAAAAAAGATGTCACAAAAAACGAACGGTCTAAAAAAGATGTGAAAATTATTCCTAATTTAAATATCCGTAAACGATATTTAATATTGAATATATTTGTCAAAATAATCTTCAAAAATACTCTTTGTCTCTCTCTCTCTCTCTGTTTTAGATAGATATAGTTTAAACAAAGAAATCGTAATAATTTAAAACGTATTCTATTTTCTCTAATGCATTCGTCTTAAAAAATACATAAAAAAGACGTCATCTAGTTACTTTAAGGATTTCTGTAGGTGTACACGCACGTATTTTTAACGACCTTTGCAAATTCTCGTGGGGGCGTGGGTGTAGGTGAATAAAGTAATAGAACACTTTGACAGTACACCGATACGAGTTTCTGTCACACAAATAGAAATGCTTAAATATAATAGGGTCATTACTTTTAGTCAGTAACGAATCAATATTTTATTATACAAATCGATACTTTTACCAATGAAACCAATATTCTGAAATACATAATATTGACATTGTATATTAAAGTTAATTAAGGAGAAATGTTTCTGCGATCATAAATTAACAAAAATCAAATGTATCTTATTTCTTATAAAGTTTTTTAATTTCTTATTTAGAGTAATTAAGTCAATTTCAAATAATTTTAAATACTTTTATAAGAAATTTTTAATATTCTCATAAACTAAAAGCACTCTTGTATCTTTATGCATAAATAATGTATCCATTACGATTTTGAAACACATTTCGTGCTAATCAACGTATTTTTGCCGGGCATTTAGCGCCAAATATAATTGTTCGATTCTTGTCTACATCCTGGATACGATATTCCGCAAATAAATCTCGGCATTAGAACATGTCGCGAAATTCGTGATGAGAATGGCAAGCACGGATTTAGAGTGAAAGTATCGATCGTGTCTTCTCGTGAAGCGACAGCGGCAGCAGCAACTTGAGAATCGAACAATTTTGAACTGTTTCGCGATAGCACACGACCAATTTGGTAGTGAATGGAAGAAAAAGTGGCTTGGCAGCCGGTGCGAGTTGCGCGCGATCTTATTCTTAGCGATGTTGCTTTATTTTTATTGCGCTTATAGAGCGCAACATCGATCGCTCTCGCGAGTTGACGTCGTTCGATTTGATAGTCGCTCATAAGTAATGCAACGAAAAAGTAGTAGTACCATGTCATAGACAGACGGCTGAATGAAGAAAAAAAAACGCGACGGAAAAGTATCGGGCCTATCTTTAGTCGCTACAAATTTTTATTGCTTCCACGTGTGATGTTTTAACCCTTTGCGATCTACTTGGCGGTTTAAACAGATTACATATAGATAATATCACGAGCATTGTAGAAAAACAATAGAGGTAATTACATAATTTCAACTGTCAGCAATTTCGTAAAACGTTTTAATTTAGGAACATATCCCTTGTTGCGTTAAAAGAATAAGTAATGTAAAATGTACAAAAAAAAAAAAAAAATTATTGATATCTTTTCTCTCTCCCTCGCTCCTCATAGTTTTGTTGAATTAATCAATAAAGCTGTTATATTGTAATTGATCTATAAAAAAATAAGCTATTACTGATATTTTTAATTTAGTTAAAAGAATAAGTAATGTAAAATGTACAAAAAAAAAAAAAAAAATTATTGATATCTTTTCTCTCTCCCTCGCTCCTCATAGTTTTGTTGAATTAATCAATAAAGCTGTTATATTGTAATTGATCTATAAAAAAATAAGCTATTACTGATATTTTTAATTTAAATAAATGAGAAATTTACCATGTAAAAGAATAACTATGTGATTTTATTAGCCATTCCCGCGCAAAAGATATATTTGCTGTAACGATCAAATGAAAAAATAAAAGTTTAATTTTCCAAACGCTTAAACACAAAACCGCCATGTGTCATCGGACTCGGTATGTACTTCCGGTCATAAATAAAATATCCAGTGCTTGGCAGAGGAGGAAATATTTTTGGCGTAATAGCGCTTTTAAGCTCCCTCGTGAATCCGGCAATCGATATACTCCGGTGACTCTCTCGCAAAGTTCGACCGGCCGGAGATTGGAAAGTTCCGCACTAAATTTCGCTCAAGATGCAGTCGGTTTCGCTTTTCCCGATTAGATACTGCCGGTCATCCATTCATGCCTTGACGATCCTCGCTAAGCTGCTGAATCATTGACGTCACGTTTAAGATACCGTTAGAAAATTACGATAGAGAGAGAGAGAAGAGAGGCGGGGAAAAAGGGGGGAGTTCTAAGGACACCATAGGAGACGCATATCGCATCGCGTTCCCCATCGGACGGGGGCTGTTCGTTAAACAATGCGAACCCATTATCCAGTCTATCACAAAAAATAAATTGGATCGCGTTCTCGTATCGTCTGGATCGCATTTTCGCGTCTGCTCGAGCGCAATCAAGCGCCATTCACGCATCTCCTCTTTCCTGTTTTGGCGTAATCTCTCGAATAATATCCGAGCCATTTATCTTAAAAGCAATGTGAGAAGAATCTCTATTTAACGCGGCTACACGATTCTCAATTCTGATTCTGATATTGTCTCGATCTCGATTTAAGCAAATAAGAACTTAATATTAAAATTTCATAGACAGCTCTTTCAAAAATTTGAAAAATAAGTAGTATACTTGTATTAGTGAGTCCGAAGCTCATCAAGATTCAGCAGGATTTAAAAAGAGGATTTTAAAGTGCTTTCTTACATACGTTTTTAGATAAGCCCATTTGTACGCATGTCATATGTGAACGTGTAGTTTGCGATTTCCGAAAAATCAATACTTTTCCGCGGCAACACGCGGTTCCCGGCACACCAGTGACGTAATGCCTGACGCAAGCGACAATCGTTGCGGCCGCGATGCCGCAGAGAGGCAAACGTCGATAATACACCGAACGTCATGAATGCCTTTGACTTCCTTAGATCGGTATTTTTCGAATGAATGCATCATGCCTTCACGTAATGACATTTGATGATAATTATGATTAAAATAATTGTTTCCTTTTTTTTTTTTTAAGCCGCCACTGTGACAAAATAATTTATCAGGAAAAATAGCGTTAATTTCGCAACGATATGTCATATCATTTGATATATTTGATTGATATACAACTATATAAATAATACTTCGTATAATTTTTATAAATAGTTTACCATATTATAGAATCTGAAGAATAAAATTCAACAGTATTTTATAAGATATATAAAAAAATATAATAAAAAAAGATTCCATGGAAAAGTATCTAACATTAAACGGACTTTTATCGTCAACAAAAATTACTCCGTCAATGTCCATCGCTATCGCCGTTTTTAGCTGATATCATGAAAAAAAAAAAAAATTCGATATAATTTAACGAATCTTATTTTAATATACGGTGACTCGCGCAAGAGTCGCAACTCGTTCGCATGCAAAATTCGCGAAATCTCGCGCCACCGGCCGCCACGGCTGTCGTCGATTAATCTCTCCGTTTCGATCGTCGCCCTCTGCCCTTTCGCCGTTCCTTCGACCCCGTTCCGCCGCCGCTGCGGCAACGTGCCATGAAAATGGTTTGTGATTACCGCGGTGGCAGGCATTCGCGCTGACGAGGCGAATATTCCGTCTTCCGTCCGCGCTATCCTTAACCCGCGCGAAATTGATTTCGCCACTACGCCGCTCGTCTCTCGGGTGAATACCCGCCGTTGTGCGAAAGTAGGTAACCATCAGAAAGATCATACACATATACACATACACCCGTGTACACATACACGATGTTCGTATTTCCTCGTTTATAGTATCCTCGAAGAACGCAATACGATTTTTGTATCTTGCTGGACAAGTATTTCGCGTAAAAAGAAATTATTTTATTTCTCAATTATCGTGATATATTCTTGCGGGATCTGATATTAAAATGATAGATAATTTAAATCTTGATTGAAATTGGATTGAGATTTTATTAATAAAAATATCGGAACTTGACGGTCAGCGATAAAAATAGAATAATCTTTTAATTACTGATGAAACACTGATTATTTCTATTTCAACAATTGTGTGGATAGATAAAATTTTTCAAATATTCCAAACAAAAAGAACAAAAAGTATCTTAAGATATTCCATACTTCTTTCCATGAATTAAACAGTTCACCTCTTGCCAAAGTCCATTCAATCCTCATCGGGAGGATCTTCGACTTATAGATTATCCTATCATCATCGCGAAAAGGACAAAATTTCAAAATATAATCGGTCACGAGAGTTAAGCTAATGAAGTTAAAGATTTCGTGAACATTTTAGTGTTTTCTTTTTACACGCGATAACGCATCCGTCTTTTTCCGTCGGTGATATCAGCAGTCCGGCGAAAGAAGCTCGTAAATTCGAGCGTAAACAACGCCCTAAAACGCGAGACGTGTTAGAGAGGGATAATTCTAGATTCGATTGTGCCGCGATCCGACCATATGTACATATAACGTACATACATATATCCATACGTACATAGATATATATGTATATATGTATATAGCGACGAAGCGTGTGTGTGCAACAAGATACCAAAGCCTGTAAACGAGACTCGGGATACATAGCCGGCTTTAGGATCGATACTTGCCGCCAACATTTTCGCGAGTACGAACTTCGTGAAGGACGCGACGAGGCAGAAGAAATCATCCTATTCGGCTCGCCGCGCAAGGAATGCGACGACAATGAAATCCTTGCTGTAATTTTTTCCTTATTCACCGAACATGCCTGAATGATGTCAAGAGCGGGGAAATTTCGAGAAAATTCAAGCCAATCATTTTGGCGATTTATGTCCGCGCAAATAACTGTTTCGATGCATTTTATACCTTTTATCGACGAAAATGCGATGGAAAATTCTCTCGATCCAACATATCGCGCATATGAACGAAAAGATAATTCTCTGAAATTATTTATATAACTAAGCACATATATATATATATATATAATTGTGTATTGTGTATAATATTATTGAGTTCAATAGCAATCCGTGTTATCATCGAATACGAGTTACCGTCGAGATATACACGACGGGAATCGGATTTTCCTCTGACGTCGATAACAGATACGATACGGGTTTACGCGCGTGTTCAGCCGCCCGCGCGGAAACAATGAGCCCTCGAGATAAGCTACACGCTCGCGAAAAAAAAAAATAGAATGAACACGGAAATAGATTAGACGCTATTGAACCACCAATCATCCATAATACGCAACAACGAGAGAAAGAAAGGAAATCGTATAAATTCAACATAGCAAAAATAATCAGCGATTATTTTAGTATTCCAGTTATTCAGTTATTCCAGATATTTTATCAGCACGTGTGTATATCAAAGAATTGACGATATCATTCGCGCAAATTTATACAATTATTATTTCGTTTTTTATAAGCAATTAACATCTTCCTGGTTTCATCTTTTTTGCAATTCAATCATTTTGCCTTGTAAAAAAAATTGTTATCACATTACGCTCATCTTTTTAGTCTCATAGTGGACGACGTGGATTCGCAGTCGATTCTGAGCGACGGCTCCGACTTAGACGGACTGTCGCGCGAGAGCAGCTCGCAGAACTCGGCGTCGCAGACGCCCCTGGACAGTCCCGGTGGGCCGCGCGAGAGGATCAAGCAGATCCAGGTTGAGGCCGAGACCAGACGGGGCGAATTCGCCAGGCTGTTGGAGGAGCACGCGCAGGTGGTGCGCAAACTGAAGATGATGGAGGCGGAGGAGCAATTGTCGACAACGACGGCGACCGGAAACGCGACGGTGATCGACGGTGCGCACGCGTGATTTTACGGTTTTTTTACCACCGCTAGAACGAGGGTTGCCATCGAGGGTTGGGACCATCGCGTCGATCACTATACGACGACCACCACCACCGCCTCACCGCGTTTCCCCCTCGACCGCGAAACATCACAATCCGGATAAGCTGTCATCGTCCAACGCGATTCGCAAGCAAGATGACGCGAATATCGTTGGATGTCTGGATTATTAATTCTCGGATGCATCTTCGAAAAATGCAGAAGGTATATGAGAAATTTGCCGGGAAATGATGGATGCATCCGAGAATTGACTATGAGGGAAAAGAGAGGGAGGAAAGGAGGGGGGTATGAATTCGAGAGGACTTCTCTTGCCGTTTTCATTTTTTTATTATGTAATTTTGTTTCGCCGACTTTCGCTTCGGGCTAATTCGATCATGCTTGATTTGAAAACTACAATTGGAAATAAATCCTAAATAATATAAATAGAATCTAAAAGTTTCTTTATAATTTCATGACGGATTATAGCAATAAGAAATAATTATTACTTTTTGTATATACTTTTTCTATTTAATAAACTTTTATATTTAATAAATTCAAATATAAATTAAATTTAAATAATTAATATAAATAAAGTTACTGCGAGATTTTTATGTACAATATTATAAATGTGCATTTATGATTGCAATGTGTTATTATATATATTATAAGCATATAACTTCTCACAATTTTACGCATGATTAAAATATTTATACTTATATTTGAAATCCGAGATGCGCCATCGCGAATTCACATAGAAAATTTTACAAACTAACAATGTAACACGTGTAAATTCGACAGACGAAGCCTTTCTGTATTTCATTCGATTTTGCGAGATCGAGTTAAAACGAGCCCGAGCGATGGGATCAGAAATCTGAAATGCTGATCAGGCTCCTGCGACGGGGATCGTCCTCATTTAACCCTTGTTTGCAACAAAGTCTGAATAAAAACCACATTAGACACGACAATAATGAGGAACACTTTTAAAAAAGGAACGCGTGATCGCGTTATCTGTTCACACAACGCGTGGAACAAGAAACTCCCGCCCGTTCGAACTAGCTCAGCAGCAACGGCTGGCCTAATAAGCGTAGTACAAATTTTGCAGTGAAGTCTTAATAGAGAAAAAAAAAGAAAAAAAATACCAGGTGCGAGTGGACCGAGAGAGTTTCCGATATAATCCCAGAGATTTGACACGGTGATGATAATCGTGCCGTCGTTTGCGGTGGAAGCGCGGATATTGGAGTAAACACATGGTGTCGTAGCCTACTCTCGAGACAATGGGGTGTACAAGCTTCTACGCGCGTTTTATAGTATCGTAGAATTGAGTGTTCCATAAGTGTAAGCTAGTTTTGTATATCGTAAATATATATAGATACATATACATGTGTACAACAAAAAACGCGGGCTGCCGAGTCTGACGATGAATGCACTCTTTTGTAAATAGGTTTCTTTCCATTACACACACATATATATAAACAAGGCTCAGCCGATCGATCTTTATTGATTAATCCCGTTTAGCGACTTCTGTCTCCTTCTATATCGAAACTTCAACTATTATTACAAAAATAGAATTAAACTGTAATTTAAATTTTTTTCTTCGGATAACTTCATCAAAAAAAAATTTTATTTTGAATTTAATTACCACTATTGCTGTTGAAAGTGAATAAATAATATTCACTAAAACTGTCAAGTTTATCAAAAAATTTTATATGAGAAATTTAATATATGATGCGTGATTAAATACCAACTATAATGTAACGATAATTTTTTTCCTATAAATATATTATTATTGAAATGTATGATGGCTCCGGATACTTCAGCAAAATCGCAAAAGCCAAAGGAAAAAATGCATTCGAAAAAGTGTTATTTATCTCATTTCATCGTTTCATTTTAATATTAGGAAGTTTATACAAAATATCAGCTGAACAGACTAATAATGCTACTAATTTTCTACGTGTGCTACCGTCAGATCGGTATCCAAATGATATAGGTATTATATACTTATATTAGGCATTTATAGACTTATATATATATATATACATAAAGAGAGAAACACAAGTATATAGACCTGTGTTAAAGTAAATAATCCTAGTGTAGAGATGTCTATTGTTACACAGTGATACCAGTCGACGTCAGTAAGTGATCAGAACATTTTTCTGCTTATTGTTAGATTAATTCCTAAGATGTCATATGATGAATCTTGTACTGCACGATAATATTCGAATGTGAAATATTAATCATTCTTTCGTATGTCAATTGAGATGATAATCGACGATTGATACAAAGATATAGAATAAAAAAATAATCGAGTCAATACTTATGAAACTTTAGATTTCCAAAATGTATTTAAAAAAAGAAAAAGAAGAAATAGGAAATATCGTACTCATTTTTTATAGAAGTTAGATAATATATATAAATAATTTATTACTCTTTGACTTTATAAATAATTATACACACCTGTACGCACGTGCGTTAAAGAAATTTCAGGAAAGATATTTTGATCGCTACATCGTTGGCTGGTTTACTGTGCGAATTAAGAAGACAGTCCTAGAATACGTAATAAGAAATAGACAAAAATGATTTTAGCTGCTCAGAAACGTAAAATGCTTTAAAGAAAATTTCGCGAAAGAGAGTGATACTGCGCAAGGCAATAATTTCTTCAACATATTCGGGAAGACTGCAAAGTAATGCTGGATACGAATGCGAAACGAGAAATTTGCGTTATTTTTGCTGCTACGAGATATCCTATATACGATCGTTACTATTACGTTAAGAGAATTGCAGATATTATACATATATGTATATTGTCACCATGTAGTTTTTACTCATTATTATTCGTACGACTGCATGTTAGAGGCGGCTATATGATATACATATTTATCAGATTTGTAATAAAATGTTGAAAAAATATGTGATTTTAATTTCGCGCGAGCAAAATAAATTGCGAGTAAAAAACATGGTTCGATATAACGATGTTTTTATCGGTTTTGCTTTCTATCGTTGCAATAAAATAAACGGCTGCTTTTTGCGACCCAACAAAATGCAATGTAATATTATATCACGCCGAGTTAATGTTAACGTAATAGAAATTTATATGTAAATTTTGGATGTATTATCGTAACATGTGAGAGATACGCGCGCGACAAGCTGTTGAGTTTTATTAAGAAAAACCGCTGCTTGACTAATTATTTATAGGCTCATGTTGTGTGTATGCGAAATAATAATGTATGTAAAACGATGGTTGCTACTGGAAAAAATATATATATTTTATTGAGTTGACAATGGATATATTTGTATTCTCTTTTACAGCGACTGTTCTTTTCGATTTTTTCTCGAACGCGTAAAACTTTGTCACTGATATGTTAGCAAACGTGACATTATTTTAAGAATATATTGAGTATATTATTATAGACTGCAACACAATAATATGTGTGAACAACGCGTTATATATGTGTTATATGAAGCATCTTTTTCACTGTTATCTCGAATCTATTATTTACAATTACATCTATAAATAGAGATATATACAATCCCATTAAAAAATATATATGCCTGAAAATATAAAAGAGAGTAACACATTCTCTACATAACAGATCAAGATATGTTTCAAATATATAATGCAAAACAAAAATAACTTGTAACTAATTTGATGAAAATAGATCCACAAAATATGTAGAATTTTTTTTTAACAAACTTAAACAGATATATAGATTTTTTTTAAACTTTAAATAATAAATAATAATAAGAGAGAAAGATACATTCATTATATCTATATCGATCTATACAATTTCATCAAAAGACACGTTATATATCACGATGTTAAAAAGTTAAATTTTTGGGCAAGGCTTTACAATCGACCAATATATTATAATATCATGATTATAAATAATTATGACGTTCATTTATCGCTTCATAAGAGTGATATGTAATCACAACTTTTCTTATCTTACGGTTCCATTGCTCTATGTTGAGATGCTAATAGCATTATTCTGTGACTTAGTTTTACATTGTGATCCCTCAAATATCTTATGAAGTCTGCCTGTTTCTCCAGTAATTCTTCCAAATTCGTTTCCCTTTGATGATAACCGACTTCTCCCATTCCGGCATAGGAATCTTGTGTAAACGGTGACAGCCATTCGTCGCGAGTAACATCGGGCAATGGACGTAACTGATTGAATCTCATAACTCTCTCTACACGAAGAACAAATCGTAATAAAATACAAAAATTTCATTTTCTATATATCGTATCATTTCAAATATATATGAGAATACACTAAATTTATCTTGCTAATGAGCTTTCCCTTTCTTTTGTCTAATTGGATGTCCCCCTCCTCTTTTACAAGATACTTACTGATATAATTAATGTAAGCCGGCACGATTATCACAATTTCCAAATTAGTTAGGAGAAAAATATAATTAAGCGGCGTGAACCACTCCGACGCCCTGCAGTATCGCTCATAGTCGGTTTTGTGCGTGTGATGTAGAATCACAGCTAATAGCAAATAGCATGTGTTCCACAATGATGTGATAAAAAGGGGCGTCCTTACAAGTCGATATGTTATTTGATAGAAATCTAAGTATCCATCAATACGCAATTTATGATGCCTCGCCTTAACAACATGGTCTGTCACCATGACTATCAGCCAATAGGCACAATGTAAGTATAAGTACGTAAAATATGTGTCACATTTGTTTTGCTCTTCTGGCCAGACAGACACAAACACAATCCCAGCAATTTCCAATGAAACCTACGATACAAAAATACTCTAATATATTCAATCCAGTCATTAAATATTTAGCAAGCCTAAAGACACAGCACAGCAACGAGATATACCTACTCCAAGCAAAAGTGGTATGGATACGATTGGCACAGTGTTCAACTGCTGAAAAGTGTCCTCCTCTTGAGAGCTCAAGATTGGTTGAAAGGACTGCTCTTCTTCCATTTTAACAGTTTGATTGAAGAACACTCATAGAATATTATATATTCCAAACAGATTGCTATAATAGTTTAAACCTAATGAACTTTCTCTATTTTGAATAAGTATCATATATATCCGCTAAAAAATAATGATGTAAGGCAAAGGCAAAATTATATATAAGCGCTAATAATATTTACTAACACGTATAAATAGTTAATATGTTTATGAGTAAAAAATTGTCTATGCTTATGGAACCATAATATTTTGTAAAACGAATAAACAAACTGTCCAATATATATACAGAAAAATGGAAATACTAGAAAGTACTAAAAGTATCAACGATAACCTCCATCTATGCAACAGCTTCTAATGTTCTGCTTTGAATTCACAATCATATGATTATTAAAATGCAGGTCTTAAAAGCATTAAAGAAAAAGAAATATTAAAAGAAATACTTGTATCTGAAGAAAATATGCTAAATTCTTGAATTTTTTCTTTGCGTTATTCTCAAAATATTTTTCTTTGCGTTGTTCTTCTCTCACTAATATATTCTAAGCAAACCAGTGTGACATTTCAAATAAAATAATGTTAGAATATAACTAATTGTCAGAATGATATTTATATCGCGTATATACATAAAAAATAACAAGTGCGTTTTCAACCAAAATGCTTCTTGCTGCTAATCGTGATAGACGTAAATACTCTCAACGATCACGGTTGAATTCACTATTAAAAAGGCCCTCTAATCGAATTAAGCATCGACGCGACAGTTGATATGCATGATATCATATACCATTAATACCATACGAAATGAGATTCCAACGTCTTATTGTTAGATGGAGAAATAAAACACTAAATACGCAGCAACGTAAACAACATTCACGTACATATTTTACCGCAGTAAAGAACATTCATTATGTCCAGTAAAAAAAGATAAATACCGAAGAAAATAATAATAAAGTTTGTGTCGACTGACCAAAAAAGAATGGGAATAATAATACAAGCCATTAAAGTATAAGTATATTAATTAGAATAAAGCCATTAGAGCAAAATGTTAATTAATACGTGTCCCACAATAAGCACACTTTGTAGTGAGCCTAAGCACGAGTCTGATAAAGCAACCACGTGATCGATTATATAGATTAGGTTAGGGTTAAGGTTTCTCAAAGTGCTCTGGAAGTGGAAGTCGCTTCTCTAGCTATGTGAATTAAAGCTTGGATAGGTTAGGTTAGGTTATGTTTACATTCGCAATGTCGAGCTGGCGACGGACACGCGAGAAGCTCGCGTATCTTACCGATTGTATAACACGATGTACTACTCACATTCCCGGAAGTATTAGAGTCCTGACCATAAATCTGACCATGCCACACGATCTTGTCAAACACGGGACACCGACGTCTTTTCTCCTCCCGTCTGCTCGAGTGACACCATACTACACACTCACTACGCTTTACCGCTCTTGCTTCGAGTGTATTTGCGACGTCATTCACTCGAGCAGTGACTGTCAATCACTGGGACCTTGCCAAGATCGCAGCATAAGAAAATATATGCTATACACAATCTCAGCGAGGCCCGATTTCAATATTATATAGATATCCAAAAATTATATTTATATCATCTCTTTATTATTTATGTAAATAAAAATGCGAAAGTTTTTTATCCGCCAAAATTATAACTGTTTCAATTCTTGAAAATATGTAGAGCACAACAATCTATTTTTTATCAGTATTATTTTTTTAAACTCGTAATTATATTTTAACATATATATAAGATAATGTTAACAAAGAGAAAAAAAATAGAATGAACACGGAAATAGATTAGACGCTATTGAACCACCAATCATCCATAATACGCAACAACGAGAGAAAGAAAGGAAATCGTATAAATTCAACATAGCAAAAATAATCAGCGATTATTTCAGTATTCCAGTTATTCAGTTATTCCAGATATTTTATCAGCACGTGTGTATATCAAAGAATTGACGATATCATTCGCGCAAATTTATACAATTATTATTTCGTTTTTTATAAGCAATTAACATCTTCCTGGTTTCATCTTTTTTGCAATTCAATCATTTTGCCTTGTAAAAAAAATTGTTATCACATTACGCTCATCTTTTTAGTCTCATAGTGGACGACGTGGATTCGCAGTCGATTCTGAGCGACGGCTCCGACTTAGACGGACTGTCGCGCGAGAGCAGCTCGCAGAACTCGGCGTCGCAGACGCCCCTGGACAGTCCCGGTGGGCCGCGCGAGAGGATCAAGCAGATCCAGGTTGAGGCCGAGACCAGACGGGGCGAATTCGCCAGGCTGTTGGAGGAGCACGCGCAGGTGGTGCGCAAACTGAAGATGATGGAGGCGGAGGAGCAATTGTCGACAACGACGGCGACCGGAAACGCGACGGTGATCGACGGTGCGCACGCGTGATTTTACGGTTTTTTTACCACCGCTAGAACGAGGGTTGCCATCGAGGGTTGGGACCATCGCGTCGATCACTATACGACGACCACCACCACCGCCTCACCGCGTTTCCCCCTCGACCGCGAAACATCACAATCCGGATAAGCTGTCATCGTCCAACGCGATTCGCAAGCAAGATGACGCGAATATCGTTGGATGTCTGGATTATTAATTCTCGGATGCATCTTCGAAAAATGCAGAAGGTATATGAGAAATTTGCCGGGAAATGATGGATGCATCCGAGAATTGACTATGAGGGAAAAGAGAGGGAGGAAAGGAGGGGGGTATGAATTCGAGAGGACTTCTCTTGCCGTTTTCATTTTTTTATTATGTAATTTTGTTTCGCCGACTTTCGCTTCGGGCTAATTCGATCATGCTTGATTTGAAAACTACAATTGGAAATAAATCCTAAATAATATAAATAGAATCTAAAAGTTTCTTTATAATTTCATGACGGATTATAGCAATAAGAAATAATTATTACTTTTTGTATATACTTTTTCTATTTAATAAACTTTTATATTTAATAAATTCAAATATAAATTAAATTTAAATAATTAATATAAATAAAGTTACTGCGAGATTTTTATGTACAATATTATAAATGTGCATTTATGATTGCAATGTGTTATTATATATATTATAAGCATATAACTTCTCACAATTTTACGCATGATTAAAATATTTATACTTATATTTGAAATCCGAGATGCGCCATCGCGAATTCACATAGAAAATTTTACAAACTAACAATGTAACACGTGTAAATTCGACAGACGAAGCCTTTCTGTATTTCATTCGATTTTGCGAGATCGAGTTAAAACGAGCCCGAGCGATGGGATCAGAAATCTGAAATGCTGATCAGGCTCCTGCGACGGGGATCGTCCTCATTTAACCCTTGTTTGCAACAAAGTCTGAATAAAAACCACATTAGACACGACAATAATGAGGAACACTTTTAAAAAAGGAACGCGTGATCGCGTTATCTGTTCACACAACGCGTGGAACAAGAAACTCCCGCCCGTTCGAACTAGCTCAGCAGCAACGGCTGGCCTAATAAGCGTAGTACAAATTTTGCAGTGAAGTCTTAATAGAGAAAAAAAAAGAAAAAAAATACCAGGTGCGAGTGGACCGAGAGAGTTTCCGATATAATCCCAGAGATTTGACACGGTGATGATAATCGTGCCGTCGTTTGCGGTGGAAGCGCGGATATTGGAGTAAACACATGGTGTCGTAGCCTACTCTCGAGACAATGGGGTGTACAAGCTTCTACGCGCGTTTTATAGTATCGTAGAATTGAGTGTTCCATAAGTGTAAGCTAGTTTTGTATATCGTAAATATATATAGATACATATACATGTGTACAACAAAAAACGCGGGCTGCCGAGTCTGACGATGAATGCACTCTTTTGTAAATAGGTTTCTTTCCATTACACACACATATATATAAACAAGGCTCAGCCGATCGATCTTTATTGATTAATCCCGTTTAGCGACTTCTGTCTCCTTCTATATCGAAACTTCAACTATTATTACAAAAATAGAATTAAACTGTAATTTAAATTTTTTTCTTCGGATAACTTCATCAAAAAAAAATTTTATTTTGAATTTAATTACCACTATTGCTGTTGAAAGTGAATAAATAATATTCACTAAAACTGTCAAGTTTATCAAAAAATTTTATATGAGAAATTTAATATATGATGCGTGATTAAATACCAACTATAATGTAACGATAATTTTTTTCCTATAAATATATTATTATTGAAATGTATGATGGCTCCGGATACTTCAGCAAAATCGCAAAAGCCAAAGGAAAAAATGCATTCGAAAAAGTGTTATTTATCTCATTTCATCGTTTCATTTTAATATTAGGAAGTTTATACAAAATATCAGCTGAACAGACTAATAATGCTACTAATTTTCTACGTGTGCTACCGTCAGATCGGTATCCAAATGATATAGGTATTATATACTTATATTAGGCATTTATAGACTTATATATATATATACATAAAGAGAGAAACACAAGTATATAGACCTGTGTTAAAGTAAATAATCCTAGTGTAGAGATGTCTATTGTTACACAGTGATACCAGTCGACGTCAGTAAGTGATCAGAACATTTTTCTGCTTATTGTTAGATTAATTCCTAAGATGTCATATGATGAATCTTGTACTGCACGATAATATTCGAATGTGAAATATTAATCATTCTTTCGTATGTCAATTGAGATGATAATCGACGATTGATACAAAGATATAGAATAAAAAAATAATCGAGTCAATACTTATGAAACTTTAGATTTCCAAAATGTATTTAAAAAAAGAAAAAGAAGAAATAGGAAATATCGTACTCATTTTTTATAGAAGTTAGATAATATATATAAATAATTTATTACTCTTTGACTTTATAAATAATTATACACACCTGTACGCACGTGCGTTAAAGAAATTTCAGGAAAGATATTTTGATCGCTACATCGTTGGCTGGTTTACTGTGCGAATTAAGAAGACAGTCCTAGAATACGTAATAAGAAATAGACAAAAATGATTTTAGCTGCTCAGAAACGTAAAATGCTTTAAAGAAAATTTCGCGAAAGAGAGTGATACTGCGCAAGGCAATAATTTCTTCAACATATTCGGGAAGACTGCAAAGTAATGCTGGATACGAATGCGAAACGAGAAATTTGCGTTATTTTTGCTGCTACGAGATATCCTATATACGATCGTTACTATTACGTTAAGAGAATTGCAGATATTATACATATATGTATATTGTCACCATGTAGTTTTTACTCATTATTATTCGTACGACTGCATGTTAGAGGCGGCTATATGATATACATATTTATCAGATTTGTAATAAAATGTTGAAAAAATATGTGATTTTAATTTCGCGCGAGCAAAATAAATTGCGAGTAAAAAACATGGTTCGATATAACGATGTTTTTATCGGTTTTGCTTTCTATCGTTGCAATAAAATAAACGGCTGCTTTTTGCGACCCAACAAAATGCAATGTAATATTATATCACGCCGAGTTAATGTTAACGTAATAGAAATTTATATGTAAATTTTGGATGTATTATCGTAACATGTGAGAGATACGCGCGCGACAAGCTGTTGAGTTTTATTAAGAAAAACCGCTGCTTGACTAATTATTTATAGGCTCATGTTGTGTGTATGCGAAATAATAATGTATGTAAAACGATGGTTGCTACTGGAAAAAATATATATATTTTATTGAGTTGACAATGGATATATTTGTATTCTCTTTTACAGCGACTGTTCTTTTCGATTTTTTCTCGAACGCGTAAAACTTTGTCACTGATATGTTAGCAAACGTGACATTATTTTAAGAATATATTGAGTATATTATTATAGACTGCAACACAATAATATGTGTGAACAACGCGTTATATATGTGTTATATGAAGCATCTTTTTCACTGTTATCTCGAATCTATTATTTACAATTACATCTATAAATAGAGATATATACAATCCCATTAAAAAATATATATGCCTGAAAATATAAAAGAGAGTAACACATTCTCTACATAACAGATCAAGATATGTTTCAAATATATAATGCAAAACAAAAATAACTTGTAACTAATTTGATGAAAATAGATCCACAAAATATGTAGAATTTTTTTTTAACAAACTTAAACAGATATATAGATTTTTTTTAAACTTTAAATAATAAATAATAATAAGAGAGAAAGATACATTCATTATATCTATATCGATCTATACAATTTCATCAAAAGACACGTTATATATCACGATGTTAAAAAGTTAAATTTTTGGGCAAGGCTTTACAATCGACCAATATATTATAATATCATGATTATAAATAATTATGACGTTCATTTATCGCTTCATAAGAGTGATATGTAATCACAACTTTTCTTATCTTACGGTTCCATTGCTCTATGTTGAGATGCTAATAGCATTATTCTGTGACTTAGTTTTACATTGTGATCCCTCAAATATCTTATGAAGTCTGCCTGTTTCTCCAGTAATTCTTCCAAATTCGTTTCCCTTTGATGATAACCGACTTCTCCCATTCCGGCATAGGAATCTTGTGTAAACGGTGACAGCCATTCGTCGCGAGTAACATCGGGCAATGGACGTAACTGATTGAATCTCATAACTCTCTCTACACGAAGAACAAATCGTAATAAAATACAAAAATTTCATTTTCTATATATCGTATCATTTCAAATATATATGAGAATACACTAAATTTATCTTGCTAATGAGCTTTCCCTTTCTTTTGTCTAATTGGATGTCCCCCTCCTCTTTTACAAGATACTTACTGATATAATTAATGTAAGCCGGCACGATTATCACAATTTCCAAATTAGTTAGGAGAAAAATATAATTAAGCGGCGTGAACCACTCCGACGCCCTGCAGTATCGCTCATAGTCGGTTTTGTGCGTGTGATGTAGAATCACAGCTAATAGCAAATAGCATGTGTTCCACAATGATGTGATAAAAAGGGGCGTCCTTACAAGTCGATATGTTATTTGATAGAAATCTAAGTATCCATCAATACGCAATTTATGATGCCTCGCCTTAACAACATGGTCTGTCACCATGACTATCAGCCAATAGGCACAATGTAAGTATAAGTACGTAAAATATGTGTCACATTTGTTTTGCTCTTCTGGCCAGACAGACACAAACACAATCCCAGCAATTTCCAATGAAACCTACGATACAAAAATACTCTAATATATTCAATCCAGTCATTAAATATTTAGCAAGCCTAAAGACACAGCACAGCAACGAGATATACCTACTCCAAGCAAAAGTGGTATGGATACGATTGGCACAGTGTTCAACTGCTGAAAAGTGTCCTCCTCTTGAGAGCTCAAGATTGGTTGAAAGGACTGCTCTTCTTCCATTTTAACAGTTTGATTGAAGAACACTCATGGAATATTATATATTCCAAACAGATTGCTATAATAGTTTAAACCTAATGAACTTTCTCTATTTTGAATAAGTATCATATATATCCGCTAAAAAATAATGATGTAAGGCAAAGGCAAAATTATATATAAGCGCTAATAATATTTACTAACACGTATAAATAGTTAATATGTTTATGAGTAAAAAATTGTCTATGCTTATGGAACCATAATATTTTGTAAAACGAATAAACAAACTGTCCAATATATATACAGAAAAATGGAAATACTAGAAAGTACTAAAAGTATCAACGATAACCTCCATCTATGCAACAGCTTCTAATGTTCCGCTTTGAATTCACAATCATATGATTATTAAAATGCAAGTCTTAAAAGCATTAAAGAAAAAGAAATATTAAAAGAAACACTTGTATCTAAAGAAAATATGCTAAATTCTTGAATTTTTTCTTTGCGTTATTCTCAAAATATTTTTCTTTGCGTTGTTCTTCTCTCACTAATATATTCTAAGAAAACCAGTGTGACATTTCAAATAAAATAATGTTAGAATATAACTAATTGTCAGAATGATATTTATATCGCGTATATACATAAAAAATAACAAGTGCGTTTTCAACCAAAATGCTTCTTGCTGCTAATCGTGATAGACGTAAATACTCTCAACGATCACGGTTGAATTCACTATTAAAAAGGCCCTCTAATCGAATTAAGCATCGACGCGACAGTTGATATGCATGATATCATATACCATTAATACCATACGAAATGAGATTCCAACGTCTTATTGTTAGATGGAGAAATAAAACACTAAATACGCAGCAACGTAAACAACATTCACGTACATATTTTACCGCAGTAAAGAACATTCATTATGTCCAGTAAAAAAAGATAAATACCGAAGAAAATAATAATAAAGTTTGTGTCGACTGACCAAAAAAGAATGGGAATAATAATACAAGCCATTAAAGTATAAGTATATTAATTAGAATAAAGCCATTAGAGCAAAATGTTAATTAATACGTGTCCCACAATAAGCACACTTTGTAGTGAGCCTAAGCACGAGTCTGATAAAGCAACCACGTGATCGATTATATAGATTAGGTTAGGGTTAAGGTTTCTCAAAGTGCTCTGGAAGTGGAAGTCGCTTCTCTAGCTATGTGAATTAAAGCTTGGATAGGTTAGGTTAGGTTATGTTTACATTCGCAATGTCGAGCTGGCGACGGACACGCGAGAAGCTCGCGTATCTTACCGATTGTATAACACGATGTACTACTCACATTCCCGGAAGTATTAGAGTCCTGACCATAAATCTGACCATGCCACACGATCTTGTCAAACACGGGACACCGACGTCTTTTCTCCTCCCGTCTGCTCGAGTGACACCATACTACACACTCACTACGCTTTACCGCTCTTGCTTCGAGTGTATTTGCGACGTCATTCACTCGAGCAGTGACTGTCAATCACTGGGACCTTGCCAAGATCGCAGCATAAGAAAATATATGCTATACACAATCTCAGCGAGGCCCGATTTCAATATTATATAGATATCCAAAAATTATATTTATATCATCTCTTTATTATTTATGTAAATAAAAATGCGAAAGTTTTTTATCCGCCAAAATTATAACTGTTTCAATTCTTGAAAATATGTAGAGCACAACAATCTATTTTTTATCAGTATTATTTTTTTAAACTCGTAATTATATTTTAACATATATTTAAGATAATGTTAACAAAGAGAATAGCAAAAACTGATTTTTATTTGTTCTTTTTGCTATCAAAGAAAAAAATATTAGAAAAGATGATCTGCTCAAAATAATAAAATTAATGAAATTACAACAAAATAAACATATCGAATTTATTATTGCAAAGTAACATTTTTATTTCATTGTAAATTAAAATTTTTATTGGTTGTTCCATGCTCTTTTAAGGCAGAAAGAGGAAGATATGAAAAAAAAATAAAAACATTTGTAGAAAGTTTTAAAATTTAAGAAGAAAATAGTGTGTGTCCAAAGATAATGGGACAATGATTTTATAGTTTGTTCGCCATAAATATTATGTTTTAGTATATATTCTGTATACGTATAGATGAGATTAATCAGATCGACGTTGTAAAAATATACACAGGAAGCAGCGAGTGATGATTTACGCGGTCTTGGCATAAATTTCGACCGTTCATTTTAATTTCTGATAATCTGAGACGTTGTAAAAAAATATCGATATAAAATCGTCGAACATTTATTGATTTTCCGAATTAATGACTTTTTATTATACATCTTGAGCATGTTTTATTTTGGCCCGTTAATTTTTGGGAGGGACGGGGAAGAGCCAGCAAAATCATTAAACTTCATCCAGAAAACGATAATAAACCAGACTCAAGACATAACACAAGAATATAAACGCAAAATTACTGCTCGTCCAAACATGTTATTTTACAATAATAAGAAATGATAAAATTTATATCACTCATTTCGGAGTAATAATTGTGCAATAGTCGATCTTCTGAAGAAAAGAAATATTATTATATTTCTACTATTCGCACTAATCTTTAATTGCATATTTATTAAATTACTCACACATTTAAGAAAAGTTTAAAATTTAGTTTAGACTTTTTTGAAAAGAGAAAATAAAAATATAGATAGTTAATATAGAAAATTATAAAGCGTAGGTGGACATTAACTATTGCTCTCGTTATGAATAACAGATAATTTCAAGTAGCAAAGACCAACCGAACAAATAACGATCCACAAGGAAAGGTTCACAACCTATATATAAACACATTTTTAGATCAACGCATCTCTCTAAATTCTCAGTTATTTTTTCACGAAACGTAAACATGCCGAAACGATCGATCTACTTGCAACCACCGGACAATCCTTACCGAAGAACCAGACGCGATCTCGAATTCCTGTGTAATTACTGGGACCGATTGCTCGCCGCGAATCAAAACTATGATATACGTCTTCCGGAATTGTTACGCGCTAATCATTTAATGAGACATTTATCCTCTCTGCCCTCGAACCACGGATTGCGAGTCAACGTGAGCTTCACCATTCTTGACGATAGCGATCGCTTGCAACCGCAAGACATATACACCGAAATGTATCAGTTGTAATACATATTCTATCCTCATAATACTTGTTTCTAAATAAAAATTAATTTTTTCAAACAAAGAAACTAAAAAATATATTTTAATAAAATGTAAAAAATGATTACCTCAGAACCTCAATTAAAAAACGCTATTTATTCATGACTTTTCTTTCAATCTTTTTCCACCATTAAATGGTTCGATAATGTAAATTTTTATTCCTGCAGGAATAATGTGTTGCCTTTTTGTATTGAATCTCATAACGGAGTCCGCCGATTTCCTTGCAACGCTAATACGGCTAGGTATAATAACTTACTTAGGAATTATATAAGGCAGATGAATGATAATTACGCGACAATCGAAAGAGAATTGACAAGGGCCAGAATATCGACGCCCCTCGTTGAACACGACAGATTCCCGAGATGCCAGAATGCATTTTACAATCAGGTTTAATATTGTGCCTCTAATTCGAGATAAATTATGTCAATATAATAGAATTTTTATTAATTTATCTTATTGTAATTTTCGATATAGCGCGCAGCGACATGTAATTGGAATAAATTTCCTGTCGGAAGTCGAACATGTTCCGCGAAGATTCCCTCGAGGTTACGAGAAAAATACGTCAATTCGCAAAAAAATAACAATCGTCCTGCTTGTGCATCATTCCAGCATGAATGTTGCATTGCCGACAAAAACGCTGGCTGCTCGGTGAATCAGCAATCAGCAAGACAGAAAGAAAATTTATTCAAGGTGATCAATCAATAATATGAAACGTCACGATTGTTTTTTTTTCTTTTTTTCTTTGTACTGATTATAATAATTGCATAAATCGGTGTGCGTAATATTCTGAATTTTTAATATTCGTATATATCGTAATCCTTTCTTTATTTGTGCAATTGCAATTTTCAATAAAAGCAGAAAAGTTAATGATTTTTCAGGGATTTAATGACTTACCAAAGACCGCTGAACAACTTAGCTTTCAAAATCCTCCGCAACTTCCTCCTTCCTGCACAACCGTAAAAAACCTACAAGCAAACAACAACGTACGTTAATTAAATCTGTCTTAATTAAATTGTTTTAAGTTCCAACGACGTGATACAGTATACCCATAAGTGCAGTTTCAGCAAATGTAAGATAAATTACTTCTATTTTCTGAGCTTACATGACTTTTGCTGTGTATCTACACAACTGTTATGATAAGTGACAAATTGATATTGATAGCTGCACCACTGAAATCGATAGTAAACGTAATTTTGATTCCATCCGCTAATGCAACATCTCAAACTTGTGAAAATCGATTTTGCAAAGAAGTAAGTAAACTGCACTTTTGGTATATCGTGTCCCGTCGATGTTTTTCCAATGTTTCTCTTTCTTAATGCATTGCCAACTCACAGCAGGTTACATGTGAATCGCATTATAGCTCACAAGCTATACTATAATAGAACTCGTATTTCTACGATTTCTACGATTTAAAATTAATTCGATTTAGCTGCAATCAAATTATTGAGATTATTGTTCGAGTGTCATGTTTATAAATGCAATAACGTTGTATATTATTTCCGGGAAACGTTTAGTTTCACATACGCCGCACAGACAAATATTGAGTAAACCATGGCCATTTTTTTTGCCGGCAGACCAAGGCACTAACATTCTCAAAATAGCGACCAGCAAATAAAACAATCGACTCGTAAAATGTCCGGCTATGTCTACTGTTGTTCCAACTTCAAAACGCGCAGCAGCATTTTATCAGTTACATAGAGTTCCGTCAGAAAGTATAAATTTTTCACCGTAAAAAATATTCATCTAATATAGAAAAACATTTTTTTTATTATAGAAAAAAATATTCAGCAATTGTATAATTTTTTCACTCGGAATAATCATCGCTACACCGATAACAACATAATCCATCTTTTTTCATTCACAGAACTACTCTTTATCATATTTAGATATGTCAATTGATGTTATTTTATAACAAGATGGGTGAGAAAGTTTATGACGCAGCGTATTTTTTTTATCTATTTGGAAATTTCCTGTCTTTTCATCCTAATCGCTTTTCAAATTCCACCAAAATATCAATAAATTCCAAAGAGTACAGAATTAAGAAAAAAGTTATAAAGTTACCCATCTGCCACGCAGTAATTTTAGTTTATATACGATAACATCCGGCGAATCAAACATTATCCAGGCTCTGCAGAACTGCGTCGGGACTGCGTTAGACCGAAACGACAACGCAATGATAAAGCGGCACAGCTCGAAACTGTTGATGGAAGAATGCCAAAATGTCGATAAAATTATTAACGATGCAGCGAAATCTTCCCATGTGGCGGAATCGCCGAACGTGAAATCCAACGACGACGGGGTCGTAATAAATAAAAGCGATAAACAATCGATCGATCCGCAAACGATCTGTCAGGAAAATGCCCTGCCAGAGTCAAGCGTCGCGACGGATCAAAGCCGACAAGGACGCGGCAGTAAACGTAAATTGGACGATTTGGAAGATCGATCGACAACGACCGATCTAGAAATTAGCAATCAACAGAATCAATGGAGAATGACCAAAGCGATCAAGCCGCGCATCAAGGATACGCCGACTATATCTACTCTAGAGAAGACTGCCAGAAACAGAATCAGAAACGGCAGAATGACGATGGAGGGAAGACCGTTCTCGAGAAGGCATGTATCTTCGCCGAAATATGCAAGTTTCTTGAGGATGTATCGTAAGGAGGAAGTGGACGAACTTCGCAGTAATTCTTCGTCTCGGAGGGACGACGGGGAAAAATTGCAACGCCGAAGAGGACTTTCTACGGAGAGGTATAATCCTCCAATATTACGAGGTATAATGCAGGAAGAAGGAAAAGATTTAAAAAAGTTCTAAGAATTAAAAAGATATTCTTATACAATTTTTTCTTTGATTATTGAAAACTGTAAGAAAATTATTAAAATTGTCAGCATAAGTACAGTTTCATAATATATATAGTGATTCATAAAATTAGAAGATCAAATTTTCAAAATTTTTTAAAGTTAAAGAAAGGTATATTTTTGAAATATATTTTTAAAGTTTTATATATCTTCCTAAATTAAAAAAATTATTTAAATTTTAAATATTTCTTTAAGTGTGGACAGGTATTATATATTTTATAGAAATATATTATATATTCTCCTCTCTTGTGTAAAAAACAAATAAACCACCAAAATTTGTTTTTATGCCTGATCTCATTATCCTTTTTATTTTTTTATTATATAAAAACTATAGAATTTTTAATTTAGTTCGTCATTTTAATGTATAATTGCAAATAAATCAGAGATTGTACCTCTAATTTAATAATCCTATTTCCAGCACCGGATATGATCGAGCGAATCCGCAAATTGAAAGAAGAATACCGACCCCGAGAAGCACAGTGCATACGACGTACAATCCCATAATGCACTCATCGGCCACTGATCCTATTTTAGATTCTAGCGGTCTCACAATACAGCTCTTGAGGTATTTAAAATTTGCTTATTCTCCATTTCGTATCCGTTTTTAAGTACTTTTTATTCTATTTCCTTTCCAAGATTTATAAACGTATATATTTCTGTCTAAAGTTATCAATGATGAAAGAATATAAATGTGTATAAATAATAAAAATATAATGTACGTAAAAAAAATATCTTAAATTATATCATTTACATAACATAATATATAAGATTTTGCAATCAAAAAAACATAATCCCGTTTTTAAATAAATCAATAAAGTAAAAATAATTATACGTATACATATTTTTCCAAATCTCTTTTAAAAATTTTATTTAGGATAATGTTAATTATTTATACAGGCTAGCCGTTTTATTGTACGCGCCCGCGTTGATGCCGGCATTGAATTCGTTGATCGCGCAACAGAATCAGCAGACGCCCTCGTCTTCTTCCTTCGAAAGATCCAACGATTTATTGACGCAAATCTTCCGACTGCTTAATGAACAACAGTCCATTTATAATTTGCCGTTCGTTCCGCACGAATCTGAGAGGGAGTCCTCAACTTTGGCCGCGGAAACAAATACCGAAAGTTCACAGACACATTCCGAACAGAAGGAGAAAGATATTTCAATCACTACAAAAGAATCTGCTTTTTCTTTGAAGCAAGAATCTATTTCCGCCGGGACGAGCAGATGGAACTCGAACAATCACGTACAAAAGCAGGAGGAAAGAGATCGAGAATGGCGACTGACGTCGATGTTAACCGATTCCGACGTGAGATTGGACAGAAACATCTTCGCGATGGAGGACTTCCGGAAGTTTAAAGAATTTCTAAAGACTGAGAAAAAACGTTCGGAAGATGTTCGATCTTTATCCACGAGAAATAAGAACGAGATCGTCATGAAGGAATATTTTCGAAATTGGTTGCACCGATTATTGCAACAACTTAACTCAGCGAGTAGTAATTTATCTGTAAACGACCAAAAGGCAAAATATTCAGAAGGATCTTCAGGAAACACAAGCGAATCTCCTTTAGAAGAGGTAAAAGAACAAGGAAATATGGATCGTTTGATAGTTGAGGAATCGCTGGATTCCTTGAAGGACGACAGGAATATCTTTACCAAATATGAGGAAGAGGACTCCGACGATCAGAGGTCGTTTACTTCAGCTACGAGCACAAACTCTTCGAGATCGCTGCAGCTTAAACAGAGCGATGCGAGGAAGACAGAATCGCGAAATGAAAATTTGCAAGATTAATGCAATTTTCGGCAATAAATAAACCGCGCATACATGTGAAATTAAAAATTGATAGAGTAATAAAAGTATATTTAAAATGTGCAACAGAACAAATGACGGCAGGTCATTTGTAAAAGAAACTTTTACAATTTACTCGAAACACGATAAATCCTTGTCAGGACATGGGGTAAGCTCGAACCATGTGCCAGTTTCGTAAGGACGCTTGCGCGCATGGGAGAACACGTGGACGTAAACGTCGTAAGCCGAGCTTTTCCGCAGCGCGGCTTCAGCTTGCAGTCGCGCGTATCATCGCTACCAGAACGTTTCTTCTCGATCGGTGATCCCTTCGCCACTCTTCCGCGTTTACCCCTGTATGTATTTATGTGTGCCTCTGTGAGTGTTTGAAACAACAAACAGTCAAACCATTAAAGCAAACCAGAAGCGAAAAGAACACTAAAACAAACGATAAATAACAAATTCGTTTTCTTGTATACAATCACGAATGACGAATGATAAAAAACACTGAGAATCGTTGAAAGAAGACGTCTCTCTCGTATGCAAATAATTCATTGCAAGATCCTGTTGAAAAATTTTAAGAAGAAAATCTCGCCCCGATGAGGAGCGAAGAGAAGAAAATTTTCTCTCTAGAATACGACAGAACGCAAAATCATGACTAAGGAAATCAAGAAAACTTAAAATCTTAAAGCTTAAAATTTTCACGTTGACACCCCGAAGAGGTTGATCACGCGCGAGCTGAGATGAGTAAGGAGGAGAGCAGCGGCGAGGCAAAGCCGCAGGACGCGTCCGCGTCGGATGTCCAGGCGGATGTATCGCCGAAAGACACGAATGCGGAGATTTACGAAAATCGCGGGACTAAGAAAATCATCCGCGTAGTAACCGTAATGGCTTACCTGTTTTCGGTGAGTTTTGTAGGTATCCTTTTAAGCGCCTATTATATATTTTTATGGGAGCCACCGAATCCGAGATTGATAGAGCGAGGAAGATTGCAGGCGGATCCGCAGATGCAGTTTTTGATGGCCACTATGCCTTCAGAGAAGACAGATATGAAAAAGAAAGGGAACGACTTCTTTCTGCAGACTGAAGTAAATCGCGCGTACAAACCTCTTCTGGGTCGCATGACGTACGGCGCGTACGATGGGGATGATTCTAACGTCAATTCTCAGGACAGGAAACAGGAAAGACTGAACGCGATGTTGCTGAGACTGAAACACTCGCTCGTAGAAACTCACGCTCAGAATCGAAATCTATCGAAATACGTAACGGCGATTTCTGGCGGATCCGATAATTCGTCTATCAGAGTAGAAAAGATGCTCAACTCGACAAAGATAACGGAAAAATCGATCTCAAATGAATTGCAGGATAACATTACCGAAGAAAAGACTCGAAATAATAATATTGATCTGCCTCCAAAATTCACGGATCCTGTAAATATGCTGGACATTGAAAGTACGCGGACATCAAAAAACGCGACTATACCTGAAAATAAAATGAAACAGAAACATTTCAACGGAAGATCTATTATCGATTCCAATCTGATTGTCGATCACAAGAATCAAAAATTTTCAAGAATCGATATTCTCAACGATATAAAAGAATTGATAAAACAAAATGAAACTGATGATCGTCAATTGATCAATGACAATCGAAAAAGCGATCCGAACAATGTACGCACGATCACTAGATCGAAAGAATACGCGGAGGATGTTACGAAGCGTCTTCTGTCTACAAATGTCAGCGTTAATAATCTAAATTCCCGACGAAATTATTCCAGCAATAATGAGTATCCCTCGAGCAACCACATCTTAGAAGTCACGCGCAATGAAGTATCGACCATCTCGTCATCTCACGATTCGGGATACATCCATAACAATCCGGAATTCCATCAGTCATCGGATGATCTGACTATTGTAACGAGAAATTCTGAAGGTGAGAGAATTCGCATGGATTCGCCAGCTTTTCTTATGGCGCCGGGATAAACATGCCGGGATAAAGACGTGCCCGTGTGATTAAACAACGAGCATTACGTCACTCGTGGTTTTCCTCAGACGCTGCTAGATTCATGATGTTTTTCTGCTTGTTCATGGATCATCAGGCGAATGATTTCACTTTTAATAGCAATGAATGTACACCTTAAGATTAAATTGACAAATATAAATAAAAATATAAGTGGAAATTATCGATCCGTGTTTATATTGTATATAATCTATTAAATTTGAAATTCGAGAGACGAACGATTATACAAATTAATGCTCACGCATCTGCTGCAGTTTATATTCTCACTATTCTCATCAAACTCTAACTGTTATTCGTTCAACTAAACACAAGCGAAACTTTCGATTATTTGATGTTTGAAATTCTCAAATTCAGACAGACTTAATCTTTCTTTCTTTTTCTATCTCTCTCTTGATTCCTATTTTATTAATATTTCTTCAAATACATTTATATTATTATTTCATATTATTATTGCCTTCTCATTACAAATATAAATTATACTTTAGTGACATTTATATAGTACGTGTATATAATAATTTATCATATGCTTTCGCTATATTTGCCGTATTGCAATATATGAAGTCATATATATATTTAAAAGGAAATATATAGATTTTAATAAGATAAGTATATGCATTCAATTGAAAAAGTAATTTCTCGACTAGGAAAGAAAGAAACATTTTGAACATAACGGATGGGAAGCAATAATTAAAGCCTTAGAAATAAGTCGATGGATCGGTATACGACGAGTAACGCGTCATTGTGTAACAAGTGAAACAGGGTCAGGTCGATCTATTATATGGTTTCTTCGACGTTACATCACACTCAAAATCCGATAACTCCTGAATATCATTAACCTTAAATATTAATATTGCAGTCATCAAATGATTGCAGTTATGACGAGTAAACTGTTAATTTATCTTCATGAAAAAGCTAGTAAAACAAAAGTTCGGGAATAATTCATCTAAATTCAATATAAACTTACGTTAGCGCATTGGCTATTATAAAAAAAAAAACAGTTAATAAAAATTTCGATCTAAAAATAAATTCTATTCAATAGACATGAAGAAAATATTTGAATTATAGTCGATAAATAAAAAAGAAATATATAATATTCACAATAAATTATGTTAATAAATAATATTTTGCATTAAAATAAAAGATTTTTCGTAAATTAAATTAAATCCTGAAAATATAAATAAAAATAAAATAAAAATTTAAAGAACTTTAAATTTTGTTTATAAGATATCGTCCATTTAATTTTGAGGGTTCAATAAGTCTTTTCATTTAATATTTTACGGACACAGATATTTCTTTCGGGAGATTATGGAAAACACTCTATATAATTTAACAGTTTGACTATAACTTTCCTCCAGAATCTTTAGTCGTTCTCAAGGCCCTCACGCCTATTTTCTTGGTTAAACGAAACTTATACCAAGGGATCGGATAGTGTGCCTTGTTTGCCAAATAAAAGATCGAGGGGCTACGTTATGACGTTCTATTGAAATAAAGGAGTGCCACCTTTTATAGGATAAATAAAGCGATAAAGTTGCGTCGATCCATTCTTAAAACGAAATTGCTTAGCAGTCCAAGATGCTTTATGATCCTTATTCAATTCTCGTTACATTTAATTTCATTTCCTTATACTATATTTCACCGATAAGACATTTCGCTCGGCTTCCGTAATTTTCATTCGTATTTTCAAAACAATCTCGTTGATCAATGGGCTTTAAAAAAAAAAGATTCTTCTACAATATAAATTATGCAAATTGTTCTGTAATACTATTCTACAAAAATGATTATATTCTTCATTGTATATCACCTTAATTATAAAATCAAAGATAGAAAAAGTAAATTTATCGTGACTTTTATTGGATGCAAATTAGAAATATAATTAAAATAAATGCTGCAGATAATGTCAGAAAAGCAGCAAATCAAACAGAAATTAAATTTCCGTTTAAAATTTCGATTATATTTATAAGTATATTTAGCCAGTTTAAAGTAGAATACATAGAAAAATAATATATATAAGTCAATTTCATTAAATATGTTTCTTAAGATTGTTTTAGTGCATGCAAACAAATTTTAAAAAAAATCGATAACACTTTTAGAAAAGCACGCAATCACTCATTCGTAGAATTATCTTGAGAATTAAAATATCAGTAAGCAGAAGACTTTCGAGTAATAGTATTCGTTCATAAAAAAAGAGAGATATAAATATCTCGCAAAGAATATAAATCTGAGAAGAACTCTTGGCTTTCTTTCTATAGTTAATATTTTTGTATAAAACTATCAAAGTATCTCTTGTAATATAAGTATAATTTCTTCTCTGTATATATAATATAATAACAAATCTTTTTTTAATAACTTTCTCCCTTCTAAGAAAAAAATGTTATTATGTGAATATATTCAGTAATATATTTTTTATTTCGAAAATTAAAACCATTGATATAAAAAGTCGATATTTAAACTAATATTTCTATATATATATTTTAGATATAAAAGATATAACAAAATACAATAAAGTAGGACAAATCTCGACGCAAGTGTAATGGCCTCGTGTATCCTCTCGAGTTTATCAGCCCCTAAACGCTGGTATGAGAGACGAAAAGCTCTCGGTGGATCAAGGTCCCGGAGCTTGCGCACTGGATACCGCTTTTCCGTGCACACATTCGTACATTCGTAGTGGTGCATTTTTTATATTCGTGACACATATGGCGAGATACGCCTATCCATGAGAACCAACGCGCAGAAATAGCCAGCGGAAAACGCGCGTGTTTAGTTGCGTGGAGAAGACGGGTGAGCTTTCGTGGTCTATCGATTTCGAGTGTACGAGTCGACCTTTTCCGCAATATTCTGGAGCTTGCGGATAAAACTCGTTTCGAGAAGACACGCCCTGTCGCATCTTTAGAATGTCCTTTCGTGATGTGATCAAAGCATATTCGAAACAACCGATCTCCTTGTATCGGAGTGTGGGAAAGACGAGAGAGCAGATCAAAGACTAAAAGCATGTGCTGTAAAATGCGTTGGAAATAAATGCGCAGTTTAGTGATGTGTTTAACGTTAAGGTACGTCCATTTGTGATTTAAATATCGCAGAAAAGAAAACCGAATTCGAGAATTTAATTAACTTATGTTGCTGATGCCATATATATAGTATCATTTTTTAGAATATATTCATTAAAAAATATATAAAGATTCGCGAAACAATGTAAGAATTAATTTCTAACGTTTGGACTAAAATTATTCATCTCCTCGTACAAGGATAAATTCGTTCGAGTTTGCAGGCGGTTGTAATTAACAGGTAATTAACAAGTCTTGAAGACGCTTTAAGATGCAATTTCCCGAAAAGAATATCTATATTTCTTGGACGCTGAATCATTCCAATGCTTTCAATCAGCGTCAGGTCGATCGCTTATTTTTCAGCGTTGAGAGAGAGTCTGCTTCTTGTCGTACAATACTTCTCGAAATCGTAAATCGAAAATACAATTGCCACGAAAGATGAGCGCCCACAACATGATGGCCAGCATCGGTCGCACCTTGGTTAATCGCGACAGCAAACCATCGGCGCCCAACGAGATACGTTTCGCCGGTGAAGAACGGAAAGACAAGCTCTATGAGCCTAAGCACAAGCAAAAACTGGTGCGAGTATTGACAGTAGTCGCATATGTCATATTCGTCAGCATGGCTGCCATACTACTCTCTCTGTATTACACCTTCGTCTGGAATCCTAAGGTCCAGGACAGGAAACCGAGGATCAACAAGTCAGATTGTGCTAAATCTCTTCCCGTCAACTCTCTCACGACTCTGTCGATTTTCAATGGTAACGGTATTAATCAAGAAGAGATATTTGCGCCTATAGAATCACAAAGATGTTTTTCGTAAGATTAGAATAAGTTAAACACTGATTTTACGCTAATACAACAAATGCTAATTATGCTATCTTTAACTCGACGAAATGACAGTTTTGCAATTAGAAATAAATCTTGAGAATTCTAAAAAAAGTTCTATGCTATACCAATCTTTTATATAAAATCATAAAAAATCTACGCTATAAAAATTTCATACGAGATAAATGTCGTGCGATATTAATCTTGTAATATAAAATGTAAGAATAATATAATACAAATATGTCAAAATTGAAAACATTTACAATGTAACATAAATAAAAATTTTGTATTGTAAAAATGTATGTTTCAAATTCTATATAAAGATGTGAAAAAATTTCAATGAAATATAAATAAATTACTGTAATTTCCTATTATTAACGAATATATACATCTTGCTTTAATCATACTAATAATCTAATACTATTATTTTTTTTACAGAAACACAGATCAAAGGGATGACCGCGAAATTTATGACGATAAATAATAAACAGCTGGAGGAAGCGGATATATCGACCACGCAACGACAGAAAGGTCTTTGGGAAATCTTGACGGAAACCACGGATATCGAGGAAACGTCTATTGAGCTCATGTCGATTCCGACAGTACGGGATTATCGCAACAATTTCACTAGCACTGTAAACATTGACGATGACGATAGCGTTACATAAACAAATATTAGATTTTTATACTTTCTAACTTGAACGGGAAAATACAAGCTAAAGGGAAGCTAAACTAGTAATCGCTAATAGAGTATTAACACCTATTACTATGTTCATAAAAATGTGATTTTTCCACTTTAAGGACAGAGAATGTTTCGAAATTGCATTGATTTAAATTGGCCAAATGACAAATCTTATAAAGATTAAAATCACTCTCCGAAACACAGATATAAAAGTTAGACACATAAATAATTTAGCAATGTCTAGTTATATGAATGATACTGTCGCGATAAAATCAACATACAATAATAATAAATAATAAAATCATAAGCAAAATTCATATATTCCATTGTAAACGAATCATCTCTATTACGAATTAATTTTAATTTTATGTTAATTGCTTAACAATATATTGCTAAATTAATCTATAATATGATTAGATATGATTAGATGTAATCTTTTGTAAGAGTTATTTTTCCAAATTTCTTATTGCTTGAAAAGTACTTTAGAGAATATTTTTGTATTATATTATTATAGAAATGTAGTAAAATAATGTAATTATAAAAAACAAATTTATTATAATTCTACTAATTTATTGCCGCAACTGAAATTCGTCCAATGTATCATATAAGTTTTATATGATTAATAAAGGCTATACACATTAAAGCAATTATTTCACATTGACATATTATTTAGCTTTATTTACAACGTTAGCTTAGCTATATAAAATTAACATTGTTTCAATGCAACTAAATAGGCAATTATTTGTAGTTATTACGTCATATTTACATGAACGTAGAAAAAACTTCAGCATTTTATGGTATGTACTTTAGATTCAGATGTTATCATTTCGGAAGCTCTATTCTGGCCTACAATTTGAGCAAGCGATATGGCATCGAATTTGTTATAAATAATGGTCACCGTCATATTGAACTCTGTGCCAGCGCGCGGATTCTGATACAATCTGTCCATTAGATTACACATTTCGCTATAAAAGTGCGGATAAGTGGGCAATTGATAAAATATAAGGTGACGAATACCCTTTATCCTCGTTCTCCGCCAAAAGTGCCAACGTTCTGTGTAAAGTAGAAAGTGCGCGTCACTATGAAAGAACATGTCCCTTGCCCGGGCGACTTTCCGGTCCTCAGTATACTCGCAGATTTGCGCAAAACTCAATTTCTCTTTCATCATGCGATTCCGCACATATATGAAATCGAAATAAGATGGAATGTAGATCAATGTGTGATTATATATGGGATCCATGTATCGCGGCAGCACCTCTTTCAAAAAAAATTCCAACCTGCTGTCGATAGCTTGAAGAAGATCGGATGCCTCGAATCTGTAGAATACCTGCGGAATTTTGACAGTCACTTTGTGAATCGAACCCGGTTCAATTCGATTCGTCACCTTCACTTTGCCTGCGTAATTGAAGCATTTCCTTATCAGTAGCGTGTTTACATGCGGCAGCTCGATACTGGAAAAGATCAACGTCTGTCTGTAATATTTGGTCCAGCCATTTACACACCAACTTCTGAGGCGAGAGTAATCAATGTCGTGAGATTTTTTAGGTTGCAGATGCAGATAATCCAACACTTGGTAAAGATGATCCCAATTCTGCATAAGAACGACGTCAATCTGGTCCATGATTAGCAATTCTATGGATGAGAGAAAATCAAAGTCTCTTACTGTTTCTCCTTCTGCACCTATAACCCTTCTGAGACCCAACGGTGAGCCAATTATAATATCGGAGGAATAGAAATTTGTGTATAATTTGAGAGTCTTCTTGGTGATGGCCATACCTATCTTGAACTTATCATCAACGTTTCCTTGTAGAGTCAATTCATAATCTTTTGGTTTAGGATTCTTCTTAGGTATCACTAATTCGTTCCCAGTAAAATCTTCCATAAATCGCAACTTATTGATGACAGAGCCACCTTTATCCTCTCCAAATAAAATCGAGATAAACATTTCGACTATTTTGAAGCAAGAATGCTTAAATGGCACTATTATAAGCACTTTGGGCCTCACTAAACCTTGATCCCTGTATTCATCTGGAATTTCTCCCATTCCACTACAATTAGACTTGGCTAATTTTGCATTATGATGCAATATTTTTGTTCGAGTTTTCAGCACATGATTAATTACATGCAAACAATAAACAAATCGTACCTGATCAGCATTTGAAAATGTTCTTTCAGGATAATATAAATCTTGGTAATTATTTATCACTGAGAATAATTCCCTTTGAAGAGGAGTTAAAGGTACAGAATCTTTTTCCAAATTATCCTTTATATTATGATAATTAGCTTTGATTAAATTATTCTGAATTTGTGATTTTATATGCAATTTATTCCAATCAATGTTTTCTATTAAACTTGGAACTTTACCATAATTAGCATATTGTTTCTCTTCATCGTCTAAAAGCTTTTTGACTTTTATTGTCTTGTCTTTCGAAACAACAACAGGTTTTGGAATCTGACATATTAAATTTCCAAGTGTGGGCCACTCCAATGTTGTAAACTCTGTAATCTGTGGCGTTACCGAGACTACTTTATATAGTTCATCATCCATGTCATTGCGCAGATGTAAAGAGAATGGATCCCTTAAATGACCAGCATCTTCTTGAGCAGTCTCAGCATCTTCGTAATCGTCCTCCTTCATGTCATCTGTAATCTCTTTATTCTTACTATGATCATAAGATTCTTCATCAGTTTCTGATTCTTCATTCTTTTCTTCATCAACTTTTTTCTTTTCAATTATATTCTTTTCCTTCCTTTTTTTCTTCTTTCTTTCTTTGTCCTTTTCGTTTTTATTCTGTTTAGTGCATTTTTCATTTTCGCTATCTGAACTGGTCACAACTGATTTCTTTAATTTCTCTAGTAAATTTTCATAGCCAGGAAATCGGGACATAAAAAGCAACTCAGGATCAATTTCTTCTTCTTCGGAACTATCAGTTTCCTGAAGTCGCTGACGTGCCTTTTCTTCTTCCACTATTTGCCTGCGAGCCTCAATCTCCTCATTTTTTGCTTCACGCTCTTTGACATAAGAGGCTTTTCTGTATTCAAATTTGCCTTTCTTTGGTTTTGGCCGACTTTTGTGTTCGTCAAATCTTCTTTTCTTATTGCGAAATAACCGTTTTCCTGGTGCCATTAAAGCGATATATTCCTGGTTTAATCTGTACATATATGTTGTTATTAATCGAAAATATCCAAAAGAGATAATTTGTACAATTAATTTAAAGATTATTAATACCTTGCATTTATATATTTACATATATTTTTTACTATCAAATTAATTAAATTTTTAATAAACATACCGTTAATCTTTGTCCAACCAGTAACGTCGTGCACAATAAGAATTGATGCAGTAATCAATTAATCTATCCTAACCTCTAATTTTTAGTTATTTAAGGCTCCTGAGTAGTCGCCGCGGCCATATTGGAATGATGACGTCAGAAGCGAGAAATGACACGCTGAGAATTCTTGCGTGCCATTTTTAAATAAAAAGATATTTTAAAGAAACAAGACTACAGATCGCTTTAGTATACTCGTAAAATTGTCCGAAAACTAAGCTTTTCCTTTGACAATTAATAAATAACCGTAAAATGAGTGTCAAAGTAAGCCTAGTAATACGGGAAAACATGTAGTTTGACAGCTGTCGAAAGAAGTGGAAAATGTTCTTTTTACATAATACTTTTCTTGCTAAGCTTAGTTTTCGGACAATTTTATAAGTTTCACGAATACGTTACACATCACAAAACCAGCATAAAACGAATAATTACGAAATGGTACGCAACAATAATTTGGGCTGTCAAAACGTCACTTTTCACGCCTCATAGTTCATCGATTTGCAACGTGAGGCGCTGCATAAAAATTCTGACATGTGGGTAACATGCTGGTAACTTGTAGCTAACATATAACATATATATAGTATATATCTTTTATATATCTTTTATATAGTGTAGTACTCTATTAGAAGAATACTTGAGCAAAGGAAGGGCGCAATGCTCAGCCATTTCCAAGAAAATTTGATTTAAATAATATGGCTTTTCTTATATCCAGCTCCGTTATATCGATTAGGGAGAAGGCGGCGTAGCTCGGGCATTAAAGCGGGTGGCTATCACGCATCAGACCCGGGTTCAATTCTTGTCCTTGGCACTTCTTTTCTCATTTTTTTTTATATAATCTAGCAACGAATATTTATTCATGTAAAATAAAGTTAATTTAACCAACTTTTTTTTTAAACACTCTATATAATTTAACAGTTTGACTATAACTTTCCTCCAGAATCTTTAGTCGTTCTCAAGGCCCTCACGCCTATTTTCTTGGTTAAACGAAACTTATACCAAGGGATCGGATAGTGTGCCTTGTTTGCCAAATAAAAGATCGAGGGGCTACGTTATGACGTTCTATTGAAATAAAGGAGTGCCACCTTTTATAGGATAAATAAAGCGATAAAGTTGCGTCGATCCATTCTTAAAACGAAATTGCTTAGCAGTCCAAGATGCTTTATGATCCTTATTCAATTCTCGTTACATTTAATTTCATTTCCTTATACTATATTTCACCGATAAGACATTTCGCTCGGCTTCCGTAATTTTCATTCGTATTTTCAAAACAATCTCGTTGATCAATGGGCTTTAAAAAAAAAAGATTCTTCTACAATATAAATTATGCAAATTGTTCTGTAATACTATTCTACAAAAATGATTATATTCTTCATTGTATATCACCTTAATTATAAAATCAAAGATAGAAAAAGTAAATTTATCGTGACTTTTATTGGATGCAAATTAGAAATATAATTAAAATAAATGCTGCAGATAATGTCAGAAAAGCAGCAAATCAAACAGAAATTAAATTTCCGTTTAAAATTTCGATTATATTTATAAGTATATTTAGCCAGTTTAAAGTAGAATACATAGAAAAATAATATATATAAGTCAATTTCATTAAATATGTTTCTTAAGATTGTTTTAGTGCATGCAAACAAATTTTAAAAAAAATCGATAACACTTTTAGAAAAGCACGCAATCACTCATTCGTAGAATTATCTTGAGAATTAAAATATCAGTAAGCAGAAGACTTTCGAGTAATAGTATTCGTTCATAAAAAAAGAGAGATATAAATATCTCGCAAAGAATATAAATCTGAGAAGAACTCTTGGCTTTCTTTCTATAGTTAATATTTTTGTATAAAACTATCAAAGTATCTCTTGTAATATAAGTATAATTTCTTCTCTGTATATATAATATAATAACAAATCTTTTTTTAATAACTTTCTCCCTTCTAAGAAAAAAATGTTATTATGTGAATATATTCAGTAATATATTTTTTATTTCGAAAATTAAAACCATTGATATAAAAAGTCGATATTTAAACTAATATTTCTATATATATATTTTAGATATAAAAGATATAACAAAATACAATAAAGTAGGACAAATCTCGACGCAAGTGTAATGGCCTCGTGTATCCTCTCGAGTTTATCAGCCCCTAAACGCTGGTATGAGAGACGAAAAGCTCTCGGTGGATCAAGGTCCCGGAGCTTGCGCACTGGATACCGCTTTTCCGTGCACACATTCGTACATTCGTAGTGGTGCATTTTTTATATTCGTGACACATATGGCGAGATACGCCTATCCATGAGAACCAACGCGCAGAAATAGCCAGCGGAAAACGCGCGTGTTTAGTTGCGTGGAGAAGACGGGTGAGCTTTCGTGGTCTATCGATTTCGAGTGTACGAGTCGACCTTTTCCGCAATATTCTGGAGCTTGCGGATAAAACTCGTTTCGAGAAGACACGCCCTGTCGCATCTTTAGAATGTCCTTTCGTGATGTGATCAAAGCATATTCGAAACAACCGATCTCCTTGTATCGGAGTGTGGGAAAGACGAGAGAGCAGATCAAAGACTAAAAGCATGTGCTGTAAAATGCGTTGGAAATAAATGCGCAGTTTAGTGATGTGTTTAACGTTAAGGTACGTCCATTTGTGATTTAAATATCGCAGAAAAGAAAACCGAATTCGAGAATTTAATTAACTTATGTTGCTGATGCCATATATATAGTATCATTTTTTAGAATATATTCATTAAAAAATATATAAAGATTCGCGAAACAATGTAAGAATTAATTTCTAACGTTTGGACTAAAATTATTCATCTCCTCGTACAAGGATAAATTCGTTCGAGTTTGCAGGCGGTTGTAATTAACAGGTAATTAACAAGTCTTGAAGACGCTTTAAGATGCAATTTCCCGAAAAGAATATCTATATTTCTTGGACGCTGAATCATTCCAATGCTTTCAATCAGCGTCAGGTCGATCGCTTATTTTTCAGCGTTGAGAGAGAGTCTGCTTCTTGTCGTACAATACTTCTCGAAATCGTAAATCGAAAATACAATTGCCACGAAAGATGAGCGCCCACAACATGATGGCCAGCATCGGTCGCACCTTGGTTAATCGCGACAGCAAACCATCGGCGCCCAACGAGATACGTTTCGCCGGTGAAGAACGGAAAGACAAGCTCTATGAGCCTAAGCACAAGCAAAAACTGGTGCGAGTATTGACAGTAGTCGCATATGTCATATTCGTCAGCATGGCTGCCATACTACTCTCTCTGTATTACACCTTCGTCTGGAATCCTAAGGTCCAGGACAGGAAACCGAGGATCAACAAGTCAGATTGTGCTAAATCTCTTCCCGTCAACTCTCTCACGACTCTGTCGATTTTCAATGGTAACGGTATTAATCAAGAAGAGATATTTGCGCCTATAGAATCACAAAGATGTTTTTCGTAAGATTAGAATAAGTTAAACACTGATTTTACGCTAATACAACAAATGCTAATTATGCTATCTTTAACTCGACGAAATGACAGTTTTGCAATTAGAAATAAATCTTGAGAATTCTAAAAAAAGTTCTATGCTATACCAATCTTTTATATAAAATCATAAAAAATCTACGCTATAAAAATTTCATACGAGATAAATGTCGTGCGATATTAATCTTGTAATATAAAATGTAAGAATAATATAATACAAATATGTCAAAATTGAAAACATTTACAATGTAACATAAATAAAAATTTTGTATTGTAAAAATGTATGTTTCAAATTCTATATAAAGATGTGAAAAAATTTCAATGAAATATAAATAAATTACTGTAATTTCCTATTATTAACGAATATATACATCTTGCTTTAATCATACTAATAATCTAATACTATTATTTTTTTTACAGAAACACAGATCAAAGGGATGACCGCGAAATTTATGACGATAAATAATAAACAGCTGGAGGAAGCGGATATATCGACCACGCAACGACAGAAAGGTCTTTGGGAAATCTTGACGGAAACCACGGATATCGAGGAAACGTCTATTGAGCTCATGTCGATTCCGACAGTACGGGATTATCGCAACAATTTCACTAGCACTGTAAACATTGACGATGACGATAGCGTTACATAAACAAATATTAGATTTTTATACTTTCTAACTTGAACGGGAAAATACAAGCTAAAGGGAAGCTAAACTAGTAATCGCTAATAGAGTATTAACACCTATTACTATGTTCATAAAAATGTGATTTTTCCACTTTAAGGACAGAGAATGTTTCGAAATTGCATTGATTTAAATTGGCCAAATGACAAATCTTATAAAGATTAAAATCACTCTCCGAAACACAGATATAAAAGTTAGACACATAAATAATTTAGCAATGTCTAGTTATATGAATGATACTGTCGCGATAAAATCAACATACAATAATAATAAATAATAAAATCATAAGCAAAATTCATATATTCCATTGTAAACGAATCATCTCTATTACGAATTAATTTTAATTTTATGTTAATTGCTTAACAATATATTTCTAAATTAATCTATAATATGATTAGATAATATGATTAGATGTAATCTTTTGTAAGAGTTATTTTTCCAAATTTCTTATTGCTTGAAAAGTACTTTAGAGAATATTTTTGTATTATATTATTATAGAAATGTAGTAAAATAATGTAATTATAAAAAACAAATTTATTATAATTCTACTAATTTATTGCCGCAATTGAAATTCGTCCAATGTATCATATAAGTTTTATATGATTAATAAAGGCTATACACATTAAAGCAATTATTTCACATTGACATATTATTTAGCTTTATTTACAACGTTAGCTTAGCTATATAAAATTAACATTGTTTCAATGCAACTAAATAGGCAATTATTTGTAGTTATTACGTCATATTTACATGAACGTAGAAAAAACTTCAGCATTTTATGGTATGTACTTTAGATTCAGATGTTATCATTTCGGAAGCTCTATTCTGGCCTACAATTTGAGCAAGCGATATGGCATCGAATTTGTTATAAATAATGGTCACCGTCATATTGAACTCTGTGCCAGCGCGCGGATTCTGATACAATCTGTCCATTAGATTACACATTTCGCTATAAAAGTGCGGATAAGTGGGCAATTGATAAAATATAAGGTGACGAATACCCTTTATCCTCGTTCTCCGCCAAAAGTGCCAACGTTCTGTGTAAAGTAGAAAGTGCGCGTCACTATGAAAGAACATGTCCCTTGCCCGGGCGACTTTCCGGTCCTCAGTATACTCGCAGATTTGCGCAAAACTCAATTTCTCTTTCATCATGCGATTCCGCACATATATGAAATCGAAATAAGATGGAATGTAGATCAATGTGTGATTATATATGGGATCCATGTATCGCGGCAGCACCTCTTTCAAAAAAAATTCCAACCTGCTGTCGATAGCTTGAAGAAGATCGGATGCCTCGAATCTGTAGAATACCTGCGGAATTTTGACAGTCACTTTGTGAATCGAACCCGGTTCAATTCGATTCGTCACCTTCACTTTGCCTGCGTAATTGAAGCATTTCCTTATCAGTAGCGTGTTTACATGCGGCAGCTCGATACTGGAAAAGATCAACGTCTGTCTGTAATATTTGGTCCAGCCATTTACACACCAACTTCTGAGGCGAGAGTAATCAATGTCGTGAGATTTTTTAGGTTGCAGATGCAGATAATCCAACACTTGGTAAAGATGATCCCAATTCTGCATAAGAACGACGTCAATCTGGTCCATGATTAGCAATTCTATGGATGAGAGAAAATCAAAGTCTCTTACTGTTTCTCCTTCTGCACCTATAACCCTTCTGAGACCCAACGGTGAGCCAATTATAATATCGGAGGAATAGAAATTTGTGTATAATTTGAGAGTCTTCTTGGTGATGGCCATACCTATCTTGAACTTATCATCAACGTTTCCTTGTAGAGTCAATTCATAATCTTTTGGTTTAGGATTCTTCTTAGGTATCACTAATTCGTTCCCAGTAAAATCTTCCATAAATCGCAACTTATTGATGACAGAGCCACCTTTATCCTCTCCAAATAAAATCGAGATAAACATTTCGACTATTTTGAAGCAAGAATGCTTAAATGGCACTATTATAAGCACTTTGGGCCTCACTAAACCTTGATCCCTGTATTCATCTGGAATTTCTCCCATTCCACTACAATTAGACTTGGCTAATTTTGCATTATGATGCAATATTTTTGTTCGAGTTTTCAGCACATGATTAATTACATGCAAACAATAAACAAATCGTACCTGATCAGCATTTGAAAATGTTCTTTCAGGATAATATAAATCTTGGTAATTATTTATCACTGAGAATAATTCCCTTTGAAGAGGAGTTAAAGGTACAGAATCTTTTTCCAAATTATCCTTCATATTATGATAATTAGCTTTGATTAAATTATTCTGAATTTGTGATTTTATATGCAATTTATTCCAATCAATGTTTTCTATTAAACTTGGAACTTTACCATAATTAGCATATTGTTTCTCTTCATCGTCTAAAAGCTTTTTGACTTTTATTGTCTTGTCTTTCGAAACAACAACAGGTTTTGGAATCTGACATATTAAATTTCCAAGTGTGGGCCACTCCAATGTTGTAAACTCTGTAATCTGTGGCGTTACCGAGACTACTTTATATAGTTCATCATCCATGTCATTGCGCAGATGTAAAGAGAATGGATCCCTTAAATGACCAGCATCTTCTTGAGCAGTCTCAGCATCTTCGTAATCGTCCTCCTTCATGTCATCTGTAATCTCTTTATTCTTACTATGATCATAAGATTCTTCATCAGTTTCTGATTCTTCATTCTTTTCTTCATCAACTTTTTTCTTTTCAATTATATTCTTTTCCTTCCTTTTTTTCTTCTTTCTTTCTTTGTCCTTTTCGTTTTTATTCTGTTTAGTGCATTTTTCATTTTCGCTATCTGAACTGGTCACAACTGATTTCTTTAATTTCTCTAGTAAATTTTCATAGCCAGGAAATCGGGACATAAAAAGCAACTCAGGATCAATTTCTTCTTCTTCGGAACTATCAGTTTCCTGAAGTCGCTGACGTGCCTTTTCTTCTTCCACTATTTGCCTGCGAGCCTCAATCTCCTCATTTTTTGCTTCACGCTCTTTGACATAAGAGGCTTTTCTGTATTCAAATTTGCCTTTCTTTGGTTTTGGCCGACTTTTGTGTTCGTCAAATCTTCTTTTCTTATTGCGAAATAACCGTTTTCCTGGTGCCATTAAAGCGATATATTCCTGGTTTAATCTGTACATATATGTTGTTATTAATCGAAAATATCCAAAAGAGATAATTTGTACAATTAATTTAAAGATTATTAATACCTTGCATTTATATATTTACATATATTTTTTACTATCAAATTAATTAAATTTTTAATAAACATACCGTTAATCTTTGTCCAACCAGTAACGTCGTGCACAATAAGAATTGATGCAGTAATCAATTAATCTATCCTAACCTCTAATTTTTAGTTATTTAAGGCTCCTGAGTAGTCGCCGCGGCCATATTGGAATGATGACGTCAGAAGCGAGAAATGACACGCTGAGAATTCTTGCGTGCCATTTTTAAATAAAAAGATATTTTAAAGAAACAAAATACTCTGCCTGTTTGTCCTAATTATTCAATCCAATGCTTTAACACTCTATCTCTAAAGTATTTAAGAAATCAACCAATCACATTAAAACAAAACGGTCGCATTTGCATTACTGCGTTCATGCAAGTGACCCATAAATTACTTTTGCAGCGAACTCGAGTCGCTGATCTATGAATAAATTATATACCCGATGCAAAAGAAATTTGTTCACTATTCTTCATTATTCTTCTTCAAATGGAAAAGAAAGCTATTTTTGTACAGTTTTTGATGCAATTACACTATTTTACGTTAATTTTTTTTTCATTTCATCTTATCTAAGAAAGAATTTACTTGAATTATGCTATAAAGATCGAAAAAACTCACCATCTCGTTGTTGATTGTTCGTCGTTGTTGCAAAAATGTTGGAATTTCTGGAATGAACTCGAGACCGGCATTCTTTGGAATAACACTAATGATCACTTACTTTGAAATAACACTAATGATCACTTATTTTGGAATAACACTAATGATAATTTACTTGAACGTGACGCGATTTTGTCGATTCCGTTCGATACTCGATACGCGCTCTCCGACATTCGAAATTTAACCGACGATACGCGACGCTACCGCCGAAGTAGCGCTATATGCGGAAACCGGAAATAATGCGCTCGCGCGGGAAATCACGTAATCGCACGCGTCGGTAAGAGTATAAATTGCAATGCGGGATTGAATTTGCCGTAGATGGGTAAGATCAATTTCTCTGTCTGGTTTTTTCGATACCGCGCAATAAAATCAGACCAAATCAGACAAATTAAAATTAAGAGGAAGAAACTAATTTCGGTGAAACGAGGATAACTATAAGATTCAAAATTAAAGATTAATTAAAAAAAAAAAACGTTTTAGACTCACTCTATATACATATTAATTGTAAAAATCAATTGTCTAAAGATAATATTTTCTTGACAAATCTAGATAGAAATTTATTTTCAATTCCTGACCATTTATTGTAAGAATTAAGACAAATAAATAGAAAAAATATATGTAAAAGAAATGCAAAAAATATTAAAATAACATTTGATTCTGAAATTAAAAATGTATTCTATATATATACATATAATGAATGAGATATACTAGAAAGAAAGACAGAAAAAGAAATTCTTTTTAATCTACATTTTTTTAATCTGCGATAAAATAAGATCAGTTTTTTTATCAATGTTGGTTAAGATTAGTTATGCTTAACGAAATCTGTCCGATAATTACAAAGAGCTTGTATAGTCATTATGGCGATTTAGCAAAAGACGGAGCAATTGGAGCTAAATTACAATTCAGAGTCAATCGACATTAATGAAATCCGCAATTATTAACGTTACGGCATCGTGTACTTTGTATATTACATAACATTTATCTACCTTGCAATTATCTTCGGCAAACTAAATTCTGCAACGCTCGAATTTCACAAGCTTACTAGTTGCGATGTAAAAAGATTGGCGGGCATTCCGGTAGGAGACTGAAGGAGGGAACGGAGAGAGAGAGAGAGAGAGAGAGAGTGAAAATACTCACAGTTCGAAAATGGGATTTGATCAAAATCGCATGGAAATGCGACGGCGTGGAACAAATAACGCGAACGATGACACGGGAAGGAAGGAGGCACGCGCGGGAAGCAGGAAAGAGCGGCTGAAATTAATTGACCCTTTGCTTCGCTTGTTTACAAAATATCCGGTCCTTAACAGGGCTCGCGCGAACCGCCACGCCGTGTCGAGGCGGATGATTGCGCTGCGCGCGCATCGATGATACCGCGGTTTCCAGTGACGTATAATGAAATAGCAACGATAGATGGAGTTGTAAAACACTTTTGCAATTAGTGCTACAGCAAAATGTGATAAATTAATTTCAAGTAAAAAAAAGTTTCTTATACACAGGTCTCTAAAAATTATTCGTAAGTTTCATTCAGTTTCAATTTTTTTCAAAAAAAATCTCGCATTATTACGTTAATCATTTCTTACGTAGTGTAAGGGCCTAACCAAATAAATTTAATAGACACATAATGTATATGCGTAAAGATATTAACCTTGATTTTTCTGCGGTAGACCCTAAATCCTCGCGTGTAAATCATCATGTAAACTCTAATACGATTGTTCTAGGGGCCCCGATAATCTCAGCGCG